CCACGTCCCCCAGCTGGGAACCACAGGGCACCCCAACTCTGGAAGGCTCTGCGCTCCTGCTGGACTCAGCAGTGGGCTGTGTGGAGATGCGCTTGTCATGCCTGTGGGTAACAGAGACCCCAGTGCTGGGGACAGGAAGTGTTCACAGCAGGCACGCAAAGTGAGCACCGAGCACTGGACAGAGAAGAAGGAGCCTGTCTGCCTGGTGTGTAGGTGTGGTGGTCTCCCAGGTCCGTCCGAGGACGGGGATCTTGCCACCGTGGACTAGAGCTGCCCGAGACACCGCAGCTTAGGCAGACAGCAAGGGAGATCAGTTGGCATCTCTTAAGTCTGTGTGCCAATGCAGGTACCCCATTTGCGTTCTGCATCCATGTACAGCCAGCCTGTTAAGTTCACCTCCAGCCTGGGGAATGCCTGGCGCTTGTGGAATGTGTCGGTCAGAGTACAGGCAGCCCCCCGCATGGCAGGTGTTTCTCCAGCGTCCTGCAGGCTGCAGATGCAGCAGCCCCCCGCCGGCCCCCGCATCCTCACAGCCTGAGTCTGTGGCCCCATCACATAAGGACCCTGCAGCCAGACTGGGACCCACCCTAGTGACCCTTTTAGCTTAGCTACCTCTCACATCTGACCGCGCCTCGTTTGTTTTGTTAATTTTATAGGTTCACTTCAGGTATACCTAATCACTTTCATCATAGGGCATTTGAGTCTATACAAAATGTATCTGGATTCTTTCTCCAATCCCTCCTCTCCCCTTCAGGTGCTTTCCCCCTCCTTTTTTTTTTTTTTTTTTTTTTCTTCTTTTGTTCAACAGGGTCTCACTCTGTAATTCAGGCTGGTCTTTTTTGGGATCAAACTCACAACCTGGCACTTGCCAGTCAGGCACTCATGCTGCTAAGCTAAGTCCCCAGCCCCTTCAGGCTAGTCTTAAACTCACTGTGTAGCTCAGGAGGTCCTCCTGCCTCAGCCTCCCAAGCGCTGGGATTTATAGATGTACTTCACGGTGCTTGGTTCTTCCCCTCCTCATTTTCAAAAGCCTTGTTTCCATTTCTACCTTCTAGTCTCATTTTTTTGTCTCCTGTTTCCCAATAACTATTACACATTTTGGTCCTTATTTACCTTTTCAGTTTCTCAAAGGAGAGAAACAACGTAATATCTACATGTGTCCAATTTATTTCACTTACTTACCAGTATGGTCTCAAGGAGTATCCATTTACCAAGAAATGTCCCAGGCTTATCCTCTGTGGCAGAGTAGTGCTCGATTGTGTTCAAAACCCACGTCTTCCTTACCCATTCATCAGGTGACAAGCATTTGGGCTGTTTCCAGAATTTAGCTGTCAGAGTCTGTGCTGCCATAAACCTGGGTGTGCGCACGTCGCTGTGGTACATTGCTTTTCATCTTCCAGGAAGATACCCAGGAGAGGAATAGCTGGGTCGAGTGGATCCTTCGATCCTAGGCTTCTGAGGAATCTCCACACTGGCTTCCATAGTGGTTGCACCAGTCCACACTCCCACCAACAGTGGAGAAGGGTCCTTTTTCCCCATGGCCCTGCCAGTTGTTTGTTATTGGTTGATTTCTTGATAACAGCCATTCTTTCTGGAGTGAGGTGGAGTCTCCACATTGCTAATTTGCATTTCTCAAACAATCAGTGATGCTGAACGTTTTTTCATATATTTGCCATTCTTCATCTGAGAAGCATCTATTTGAGATGCCCATTTTTGGGTTGAGTCTTTAAATTTTGAGGAGGAGATCTGATTTTTTTTTTCTTTTGAGCTTTTTATATATTCTAGATGTTAGCCCTTTGAGGAACAGCTGGCAAATTTTTTTCCCGCTACGCGGGTTGTCTTTTCACTCTGTTGGTGATTTCTTTTGCTGTTCAAAAGCTTTTTAATAAGACAAGATCTCAATTGTTCATTTTTTGTTATATTTCCTGTGCAGTTGGGATTTTGGTCATAAAAGTCTTTGCCTAGGACCGAGGATATAGCTCAGTGGCACAGCACCTGCCTGGCAGTCACTAAGTTCTGAGTTCATTTCCCAGTACAAAAGAAAAAAACACCCTGACAAGTCTTTGCCAATATTCTGTCTTCAGGGATTTTACGTGTTCTCCCTTCCAGTAGATTTTCTGTTGTAATATTTAGATCTCTGATCCATTTTTATTTAGCTTAGTGCACAGTGAGAGATGTGCCTCTAGTTTTAATCTTGGAAAGCCAGTATTCCCAGCACCATTTATCAAAAGTCTGTTGCCTGTATGATGGCACACACCTGTACTCCCAAGCTCAGAAGCTGAGGCAGGAAGATCACCGTGAATCTGAGGCCAGCCTGAGCTACATAGTGAGACCCTGTCCCTTTCTTTCTCTCTTTCTCTCTCTCTCTCTCTCTCTCTCTCTCTCTCTCTCTCTCTCTCTCTCTCTCTCTCTGTCTCACATACACACACACACCACTCACAAAGTTATCTTCCAATGAAGGTGTTTGGCCCCTTTGTCAAAGAGAAGGTGGCTAGGTTCATCTGTAGTTGCTTTTCCATCTCCTAATCTGTTCTACCGATCCTCAGGTCTGTTTATTCATTCATGCTGTTTTTATCACAGTAGCTTTGTAGTATAATTTCAAGTCAGGGATTGTAATGCCCCCCCTGCCCTGTATTTGTTGACCAGGATTGCCTTTGCTATTCTAGGTCTATTCTGGTTCCAAATGAATTTTAGGATGATTTTCTCTTAATTCCATCAGCTATATTCCATTAGTATTTTGATTGGGATTGCATTAAATCTGTGTAACAATTTTGGAAGTATGGCCATTTTTACTATATTGGTTCTTTCTACCCAAGAGCTTTCTGATTTCATCTTTTTTTTACTTCCTTCGTTAGATTGATTCCTGTGTATTTCGTGTTTCTTTATGCTGTTGTGAAAGTGTTGTTTCCCTCATTTCTCACTCGGTGAGTTTGTTATTCATGTACAGCAAGACTTGAGTTCTGAGTGTTGACTTTGTATCCACCTGTAGTACTGAATTTGGTTATTAAAGCTACAAGTCATTTTGTGGAGTTTGGGGGTCTTTCTGTATAGAGTATCGTGTCATCTACAAATAATGATTTAACTTTTCCCTTCTCTGTCCTTGTTTCTTTCCGTTGTCTGATTTCTCTTGATAGTGTTTCTAGAACTATATTGGATAGGAGTGGTGATATTGGGCATCCTTGTCTTGTTCTGATTTTAGAGTGAAAGCTTTCAATTTCTGGCCACTTAGTGTGATGCTGGCTGTTGGTTTGTCGTAGATGGCTTTTATCAGATTGAAATAAAGACCATCTGTTCCAACTTTCTGTAGAGTTTTAATCGTGAAGGCGTGCTGATTTTGTCAAAAGCGTTTTCTGCATCTGTTGAGGTGATCGTACGATTTTTGTCCCAGGCTCTGTTAATATGGTGCTACGTCTGTTGACTCATATGGGTTGAACCATCCCTGTGTCCCAAGGGTGAACCCGACTTGTTTGTGTATGTGACCTTCTGGATGAACCACTGCATTCTGTCTGTCGCTCTTCTTGAGGATTCTTGGATCTGTGTTCATTCAGGACGTTGTCCTGAAGTTCTTGTTTTTGGTTGGATCCTTCTCTGGTTTTGGTATGGGGGTAATGCTTCCTGGAATGACAGGGAGTGTTCCTTCCCTTTCAGTTTCATTAAAGAGTTTGAGACATATTAGCATTAAATCTTGTCTAAAGTTCATGTAGAAGTCAGCATTGACTCCATTAGGACCTGGGCTTCCCTTTGTTGATAGGTTTTTAATTACATTTTTATTTTGTTGATTGATAGTGGGTTATTTAGAATTTTTATATCATCTTGATTCACTTGTAATTCCGTGCATCTAGGCATCTGTCCATTTCTTCTGTGTGTAGGTATTGATGATCTTCTGAATTTCCACAGGATTGGTTATGATTTCGCCCTTTTCATTGCTAATTACATGAATTTGAGTCTTCTTTTCTTGGTAAGGTTGGCTAAGGGTTTGTCAGTTTCATTTAATCTTTCAAAAGACCAACTCTTGGATTCACTGATTCTTTGTATTATTCTCTTAGTTTCAGTTGCATTAGTTTCTACTCTGATCTTTATAATTTCCTTCTTTACCACAAACTGACCAGGCCCAAAATCTCTTAAATAAGTGGACGACAAAGGCTTAAATAAAAGAGATAGTGGTATGATTTTAGGACTCCAGGTAAATCAAAACTTTAACAGCATTCGAGATTTTGGGGTCTGAGACCAAGAGCTTCTTTGGGAGGCCCATATTTATTTGGTTTTCAAACAAAGGAAGGAGATAAGAGTAGAAAGTGTGGGAACTCCGCAGGACCTTGGGAGTAGTTTGGAGACTTTACCAAGCATTGAGTTGTGCCAGTCAGAGCTGTCTTATCCCGAGGAGCGAGACCCCTGCAGCGGCATGCTGTGTAGTTAACTGAGGCTGGATCCAGGCAGCCTCAGCTGTGGCTGGCCAGGCTGCAGGTCCCAGCCTTGCTATCGTTGCTATCCTGTGGCCTGCTGTCACCCCATGCCCACACACCCACAGCTGGAGCCCCTGCTGTTGTCACTAGGAGAGCAGCACTGCTGTCCTCTGCTCTGTGTTCTGATCTGGCCTCGTCCACTCCCTGAGTCAGCCTGACCCTGCCCTGACCTGTACACAGTGTCGCCTGCTGGGTGCTTCCACTGGTAGCACAGTGTCCCAAGGAGCTGTGTGCTTAGTCTGCTTTCCTGTAACTTCTAGATGACCTGGGGACAGGAGGGTGACCCCATGGAGAGGAAGGCGACCCCTGAGAACAGGAGATGTGGCCCGTAGCAAGGCTGCTGTGGTGCAACTCTGCGTGGACAGAGCCAGTTCCACTGTGCTGTCCCCAGCATCCCTGGTGGCAGTGCCCAGGAGGTGGGGAGTGGGGGCCACAGGTGCAGGCGGCTCAGGTTCAGCTGTGGCTCGGCTGTGTGCCAGGCTCTGGGCAGGTCCAGATCCAGGTGACAGGTTCCAGGTGACATCTCTCTGCCCCCAGGTGGCCTTCATGACTGTGACCCTGTTCCCTGTCCGGCTCCTATTTGCCGCTTTCATGATGCTGCTGGCCTGGCCCTTGGCGCTTGTGGCCTCGCTGGGATCTGCAGAGGAGGAGCCCACACAGCCCCCCACGCTGTGGCGCAGGTGAGTGCCCTGGGGTGTGCTGTCACTGAGTGAGGACCTTCACCTCCCCTCCTGGCCTGTGTCCCTGCCTGCCCCCTGCCTGCCCCCATGGCCCCTGTCCTGCTCCCTGGCTCAGGGCACAGGCCCCCTCTGGTGGCTCCTCGTGGCTACAACTGAAGTCACAGCTTACCACCTGTTCCCTGGACACTTTCGAGTGGATAGATGCCGGCGGCAAGGTGAGGGTTACAGATGTCTCAGCATCTTCCGTTACCACTTGGCTTGTATTTTTGGACATGTTGTGAAACGTGCGCAGAAGAGCGCATCAGGGAGCGTCCTGCAAAGTTCTGCAGTGCGCCTCACGTGATCGCAGCCACTGTTGGTGCCTGCCCCATGTGGAGGCCGTCACCACGGTGACCGTTTATCCTCCCAGCTGGCAAGGTCCTGTCGCGCAGCTCCTGGGCTCCGTGCCCGCTTCTGCAGGGGTTCAGGCCCCTGGGAATCAGTTGGAACTGTCCCAGCTCTTGTTTTGCTGTGATGAGGTTTACCTGGTGGCTGCTCTCCTGCTTGCGCCCCAAGGCCTGGCTCTCCCAAGGCACTGTCCTTGTGGGCCAGGCACACACGTCTCAGATGGCTGAGCGGGACAATCTACAGCTCCCTGGAGACTGACAGGAAGGGTGCGTACAGATCAGTGCCCACGTTGTCCTCACCATTTTGCGAGGAGGCCGTGGGCAGCCTGTACTCTGGCCACGCTGGCTCACACCACTCTGTCCACTCTCATGTCCACCCACGTCTCCTGGAGTTGCACATCAGTGGCTCTGTAGTGCCTGCAGCACCCCGGGCAGCCCACACAGGGAGCCAGGTGGCAGAGAAGTTGTGTAGACCCTTGGGAGTGGGTGGGTGGTGCCAGAGGTCTCGTCACTTGTGGACAGGTCCTCCTAGGTGGAGGGGCTGGGCCCAAGCCCCGCCCCTCTCCCCTGGCAGCTGACCGGCCGCCCCTTTCTCGCAGGTTGGTGGATGTCCTGCTCAAGGCCATCATGCGTGCCATGTGGTTCGCCGGTGGCTTCCACCATGTGACCGTGAAGGGACGACAGGCACTGCCAAGCGAGGCTACCATCCTCACGTTGGCCCCACATTCATCCTACTTTGATGCCATCCCCGTCACCATGACCATGTCCTCTGTCGTGATGAAGGCGGAGAGCAGAGACATCCCTATCTGGGGCAGTGCGTGAGCCTGGAAGAGGGGTACCCGGAGTGGGGAGAGACCCCCAGTGTGGCTGGGGGGCCTGGCAGGGTCCGGGCTCTCAGGGGCTTCCAGGCCTGGACAGACCCTGCAGAGGTTTCCCAGTGGGGCACTGGGCTCTGTGGGGTTTCCTCCCTAAATGGCGAGAGGCAACAGAGGGCCCCTGCTGGTGGCTCCCAGCCCCATGGGGCCCAGAGACAGTGCTCAGAGATGCGTCTCTGCAGCAGCACAGCTGGGCGAGTTACTGCTGGGATGCCTGTGCCAGAAGGAGTGGCCCATGTGGGGCACAGCCAGCATGCTTTGTGCTTCTTCAGCTGTCCTGGGAACCACATGTGGCCCTGCATGAGCATCCCCTTGCCCTCCCACGGACCCGGTGACAGTATAACCCTGTCTGCAGTGATTACCTGCAGACGCTGTTTCCAAGCAGGACCCCACATCCGACCCCAGGAGTCAGGACCCAACCTGTCTTTAGGGGAGGCGAGGGACCGGGTCCAGCAGTGGAAATGCTTACCACTTGATTCCTTCAGTAACGAGGGTTGTTTGCTACCAGCCCTCACTAAATTCCTGGAAGGTCGGGGTTTTCCTGGCTCCTTACTGTCGAGTCTGGGTGCAGTCCGGGATCTCTGGGGGTCTCCCCAGTCCCTACCCGAAGTCTCCGATTGTGCTAGGGGCTGGGGGCCGACATTGTCTTGTTTGCACCCTGTGCAGCCCTGATTCGGTACATACGGCCAGTGTTCGTGTCCCGCTCTGACCAAGATTCTCGCAGGAAAACCGTGGAGGAGATCAAGAGGCGTGCGCAGTCAGGCGGGAAGTGGCCCCAGGTAACCATCCTGCCCGTGTCCCTGGGTCTCTTTGAAGCAGTGTGGACTTGAGAGTGGGGAGAGCTGGGTCGCCCTTCTCTGGGGCCTAAACTGTTTTGAGCCATCGTCTCTTGTCTGACTGCAAATCCATGAACACGTTGGGTGTCCCCACTTCCTGTTTGGTACTCACAGTTGGAAGATGGAAGGAACCAGTTCTCAGAGGCTTGAGAGTTCCCCGGCCAGCAGTTTCCAAAATCAGAGAGGCTTGTGGCTGGCCTGGGGTGCAGGACTGAAGCAGCTGCGGGGAGGTGTGGTTTATTTCCCCTGCGATGTGGGTGCCTGGGGGAGCCCTGTGCCTGTTGATACCTCCCCTCAGGCCCTCTCCACTGGCTCTGCAGCCACAGCCTCTGCTCCCGGTCTTCTGTGTGATGACCTCATCCACACCGTGCATCCACGGTGCAGCAGACCTGAAGGGCAGGCTCCTGCTGTGTGCGTGTCTGTGTGTGTGCAGTGTGTGTGCACAGTGTATATGTGTGCGCATGCGGCACAAGAGAGGGAGCGAGAAATGGGTTGCTTCTGCTCGAAGCCGTAGAGTGATCAGCGTGCACACCTGCGCAGGCAGTTTTCCACAGAACGCGACTGAGCGGTCTCGACCTCGGCCTCGGCCTCGGCAGGAATTGGGATTGCGCTCAGCAGGGCAGGCTCTGGGGGCTATGGGTTGTAATTATGATCATTTAATGCTGACTTTTTCTTCTCATTTGAAGATAATGATTTTCCCAGAAGGAACTTGTACCAATAGGACCTGCCTGATTACCTTCAAGCCTGGTATGTAATTTTCCTCATTTTTCCTCTCCAGAAGAGAGAAGCGGCCAACCCAGCCCAGCCCTGGTTACGGAGTAGGGAACGGCAGGGAGGAGGAAGCAGTTCTGCCTCTTCCACCCGCCGAGGAGCTTAGGACCATCTCTAAGCAAACTCAGTCTCTGAGGGGAGGATCATGGCAATCCTGGGAGGGCGAGGTTCTGACCACACGCTTAACTAGGCGGAGAGGCTTCCTGCATGTGTGGTACCCTCTCCCCCCCCCCCCCCCCGTGGGGTGCAGACCCCAGAACCGGGGGATGCTAGCTGCACGGGGGAAGAGAGGACTCGTCATGTGACTGCCAGCCCCTGCCCCTGGCAGTGGAATTCAGCACGAGCAGTGTGGCGAGCCACCCTTATCTGCTGGGCATCAGCACCAGGGTCCCCGTGCTCCTGTGCTGGGCACCAAAGAGTCTAGGCTAGAGCAGCTTTCCTGGTGGAATTTCCGTGTGAGGTCTGGTCCTTTGGGCCAGGGAGATTCCTGTGATATCCAGGAACCTGCCCCATGCCCATGTGGATATCACCACCAATGTTTAGGCTTTGCTGAAGGCCCCATGGCCTCAGTCCTGGTTCCTGGAGCCTCCGGGTGAGCACAGTGCCAGGCATCCACAGAGTCCAATGCTGGCCACACTCACCTCGGTGCACAGCATGCACGTTCAGAATGTGGGCTGCCCGACTTCTTGGGCTGAACATCGGAAATGTGCACCTGACCCCTTTTCTGATTACTTGAGTGTTGGTACCATCACTGAGTGTGTGGCAGTGGGCACCAGGATGGCCCTCAGTGGATGTGGCACTTCCTGCAGATCCCCACCCAGCCTGTGGCTGGGGCTCTACTCACCGGCATGCATGTCACGGCCTCCACCCAGACATGGACGTTCCCACTGTTCCATGTGCCACTGACAACCTGCAGTAGGAAGTCGCTGCCTGCAATGTTGGTAGAACTGGCAGGCTGGGCTGTTGGACAAGCAGCCCTGGTCCTGGACCGAACTGTCCTCAGTACTGGCCCAGGCAGTCCCCTCCCAACGAGCCAAGACCAGGTGGACTCCAGGGTGGCTGAGCAGAGGCAGCTCAGGTGCTTCATCCCAGAGCCGCTGCTGGCCCTTCGAGAGCCCTGTGGATACATGAGGACAAGGCGCTGGCCCCCTGCAGGTGCAATGGCCCTGCCTCCTTCTCTGACATCCCTCAATGTGTCCCATCCGGCGCTCCTGACAGCCGTACCCACCTGCTAGGAGAATGAGCTCTGGGTGGAGCCGTGACTGAAGCAAGGCTTTGCTGTGGATGCCTGCAGCCTCATCCACCTGCAGGGCACCTGTGCAGCCGGTGTGGAAGGTGGAGCGGGACAGGGGCAGTGTCTGCTGGCCCAGCAGGAGCTTGGATGTTCCCAGGCCCTCCAACAGCAGCTGCCCCCCTGTGATGGGTGTCTTGCGGCCATGGTCCTGGTAGCGATAGCAGGAGACCAGGTGGCCCCAATGCCCCATGGGTGGAGCCACAGGTGCTGGCTACTCTGATTTCCGTCTTGCTGCTGCAGAGACACAGCCCATCTGTGCTGATGTTGCAGAGGTTGCCCCAGTGCCGGCCCTGTGTCACCCAGAGGGGTGGAGCAGGAGGCCGGTTTCATGAGAGGCAGCAGGGATGTGGCTGGGATCCCACCCCTCGGCCCATGAATGAGTCAGCACTCCCCACAGGTGCATTCATCCCCGGGGTCCCTGTGCAGCCAGTGGTGCTCCGATACCCGAACAAGCTGGTGAGTGAGCCCCCGGACAAGGGTGAGAACTGCATGGTCCCCGTGCCATCAGCTCACTGTGTCCTTGACCACTGGCAGCAGCGGGCAGCACAGCCTGGAACAGCAGGGCAGAGCTCAGCTCAAACAGTCACCCTGGCCTCTCCTCCCCTAGGGCCAGTCCCCATGTTTTGGGCACGATGTGCCTGGCTCACCCTTGTAGACAACTCAGAATGTGGACGCTGGTGTGGGGGGCCGAGCTAGGGGCTTTGTAGCTGGTGGCCTCTCTTGGGCCACTGTTTGGACACAGGTTCCCTTTAAGAAAACAAAAGAAGCAGTTGGGGTCCAGGGCTTTTGGGGTGGCTAAAAGGACCTTAGCTCAAAGGGGCAAGCCTGCAGGAGACTTTATGTGGGTGGGACAGGGGCCACACCTGCCTGAGCACCTCAGAGGATGCCCAACATGGCAGCTGAAGGTCACTGGGCACCTGGGAAGAGAGGAGGACAGGAGCCAGAATGGGACTCAGGTGGGCGACGGGGGGGGCGTCTTAGTCTTCTGGCCTGGTGCTGAAGGGCATGATGAGCTCCTGCTCTCCGGCCCAGGCAGGCAGGGTGGTGTGATGACCCTGCTCCTCCTGTCCCCCAGGACACCATCACATGGACGTGGCGTGGCCCTGGAGCGTAAGTCAGACTCTATGTCCTGTGTGTGGGCACTCAGACCTTGGTGACCCCATGGCTTTGGGAGCGAGGATGATGGAGTGTGGCAGTTCTGACACCCACAGTGGGGACCCTTGCCTGGGCCCAACAGGAAGTGCTGAGGTCCTTTAGGCATGGTGGGCACCATGCACCTGGTGGCCTAGCTGGCATCTGTCCCTGTGGCTCTGTTGAGTGGCAAGTGAGGCTCTCTGGCAGAAGTGACAGTGCAGACCTGGGCTGATGTGTAGGGACGGGCTGGTGGGTTCCAGACCCTTGGGGGGAGGCAGGGCCAGACACCTGAGCGCCACAGGGCATCCTGAGGGTGACAGCGTCCAGTGGTGGTGTCAGAGGTGGCCCCTTCCACTCCTGCCAATCAGGGTGGCGCGGCCAGTTCTAAATTGGGGCCCCAGAGCCAGGCTTGGGCTGTGATGTGACCAGGGCTGCAGGGCTGAGCTCCCTGCGTGGGGATGGCTTACTGGGGAGGACAGTTTGCTGGACAAAGCAGAGACACCAGACATTGGAAAGGAGCAGAGACTGCTGATAACACGTCTGCCATCAGAGTTCCCCCATGTCCCGGAGGGTGGCAGAGCCAGGGCACAGCCCTGAGGGCTCGGAACCTCCCTTCCTATCCTCAAACACGTCTGTGCTGTTCCCAGGCTGGAGATCCTGTGGCTCACCCTATGCCAGTTCCACAATCAGGTGGAGATCGAGGTGCGTGGACCCGGTGTTGCGGGGTGTCGGGGCTCACGGTGGGTGTGGGCTCAGTGTCCCCATCCAATGGCTGACAAGACCCCAGTCCCCAGGGAAGCCACTCCGCCCTTTATCTTGGTTGCTGTGGCCTGAGAGGGTGTAAAATCGGCACACAGGCAATGAACGTGTTTTGGCGTTTATTTCTACGCCTTGCAAGTGCTGCGGAATCCAGCCTGCTGCTTTCTCCCTGCTGCCTCCTAGTTTTGCCATCTGAGATCTCAGGGTCCTGGCACCACGCCCTGGCCAGGCCCTGCTCGTCATGGGAATCCTGAGTGGTAGGAGAGGGAATTGGAGTAACCCAGGTGCACCTGCAGCCAGGCTGCCGTGCTGTGCAGCGGCACGGTCCGTGGCCTCCCCCACTGCAGGAGAGCAAGCACCTGCTGGGGAAGAGGACGCTGTGGGCCGGGCTGTGGCCCTGACCCAGCCAGGAATGAACGTGAGCCTGGCGCCCCTGCTGACCAGGGTGTCCCCCCGCCCCCATTCAGCAGCTCTGTTTCAGACCTGGTGTCTCCCAGAGATGAGACCCGACAGTGTAAACACCTCCGGTTACTGTGCTCACATGGGGTGGGGCCGCGGGAGGGGCGTTGTCATTACAGAACTCAAAAGGTTCCTTAAAGTTACTCAGAGCAGGCGGGGTTTCAGGGTGTTCCTGTGTCAGTAGACGTGTGTGTTAAGGGAAGCCAGGCATGATGGTGCATGCCTGTAATCCCAGCACTCAGGAGGCTGAGGCAGGAGGACTTCCATGAGTTCGAAGTCAACTTGAGCCACAAAGTGAGTTCATGGCCAGCCTGAACTGCATAGTGAAAAACTCTGTCTCAAAAAAGAAGAAAGGGCTCGGGGTGGCAGCCTGTGGGCTTAGTCCTTGAGCTCCGCGTGCAGCCACGGGAGGAATGGTTTTCATTGGAAGCCGCAGTGGACACCAGAGGCTGCTCAGAGTCCACACCAAGAGGTGGGGACGTGTGTGCAATGCTTTTGTACCCAAAGGCTCAGCGGGGCAGGGTTAGATGAGTGCTCCCCAGCTGGGTGCTGTAATAGGGGCACCCGGGTGGCTGGGTCATGAGCTTAATGTGGTGGGGTGCATGTGTACATGTAGGGGCGATCCTGGCAGGACCCTAGTTTTGTTAGACAGGCGGGTGGGGCCCAGCTGCACCACACGTGCAACAATCCCACCTCTGTGTGCAGTTCCTTCCCGTGTACAGCCCTTCGGAGGAGGAGCGGAGGAACCCTGCGCTGTATGCTGGCAATGTGCGGCGTGTCATGGCTGAGTGAGTGCGCGTGCGAGCCGGTTCTAGGCACAGCAGTGCCCGTTGCTCCGTGGAGTTGAAGCAGGTGGCATGGGCAGGGAAGGGGCTTCTGCCGAGCTGAACAGGTGTATTCTGTGCATGCTGGCCCTCGATATGTAGGCTGGACACCTCCTGTCTCCTGATCTCCGATGCTGTTCCCACTTGCTGGGTGTTAGAAGACAGGGTGCACTGCCGTGCTCACCCCGGCCTGTGACCGTGTCCATTGTCTTCAGTGTTTAACTCGGACATGAGGTGCTAGTGCCTGGCCAGCAGCCTGGTTCTGTGAGGTTCCGTGTGCACAGGACACAGACCGTCAGGGCACAGGTGGTGGAGGCTACAGATGTCTTGGGCTCCCCCTGGGTGCTGCATTCATAGCTGGCTCGGTGGAGCAGACACAGTCCTGGGAAATGGGTACCCTGTAGACTTTGAGGCCCCTGGTCACAGTCCCTAGGCAGGACAGGGCAGGGCATGGGCAATTGCCATGCCTCTGTGGCCACATGCAGATACCCCACAGATGCTGGGGCAGTTCCGCACCTGCACTGGGACTGGCAGCTGACGGATCCCTCCCACAGGGCCCTGGGTGTTTCGGTGACGGACTACACTTTTGAAGACTGCCAGCTCGCACTGTCAGGAGGACAGCTACGCCTCCCCGCCGACTCATGCCTGCTGGAGTTTGCCAGGCTGACACGGGCCCTCGGGTAAGTGCCTTCGGCCTCTGCCCTCACTCCAGACCCAGGCGAACAGTGGGGTAGATGGCTGTGCTGTGCTTGCTGTGATTGTTTGGGGCCAGAGTGTGGGAGACTGGGCCCAGGACCACACGCAGGTGCCCCACTGTGTACTACGTCCCAGCCCTTAGTTTTTATTCTAAAGACACCTGCCTGAGTCACACAGGTGGCCTGAAACTGTCCTGCCTCAGCCTCTTGGGTAGCTGGGATGACAGCTGTGTGCCACCAATTTTGTCTTCATTTTTCAAATATCAAATTTGGCCCACACAGAGGGCCTTAAAACCTGTGCTGGGCACCAGGCCTCTGCACTGGGCCACCCTGGGGCCATCTGGGAAGCACAGAGCCGCCCTGAAGCTTTGTGGATCCACACCGAGTACTGCCTGTGGGCTGTGCTCCTGGGAAGCCCCTCGCCACTCTTGTGCAGGGCAAGTCTGCTTCGGCCTTCTGTGGTTTACTGAGATCGTCCCTCTCTCATTTAGGTTGAGACCAGAAAAGCTTGAGAAGGATCTGGATGGGTACTCGTCAATCGCGAGGACGCGGGGCGGGGAGAAAGTCGGCCTCGAAGAGTTCTCGGCCTTCCTGCAAGTGCCGGTGTCGGATGCGCTGCAGGACGCGTTCGCACTCTTCGACGAGGTGTGTGGCCTTGTCTGCGTTCACACATGTGAGGCAGCTCTGAAAGCAGTGGGGATCCTGTCCCTCCTCCCATGAGCAGGTGCCGAGAGGAGAAAGCAGGTGACACTGGAGGAGGGACAGGGTCTCCAAGCAGGAGACCACCCCCAGGGTCTCTGGGTGAGGCATCGTGGCGTACACCCCTGTCATCCCAGCGCCATTCAGGCTGAGGCAGGAGGACTGCTTCAAATTTCAGGCTGCATAGCTAAAGCCCAAACTGTAAGAGTGCAAAAGTACAACTGTCACTCGCAGATCTCTGTTGTGTCACCCGAGCCGGTGTGCACATTGCCTGCGCCAGTGCTCAGCATGCCACCCACTCTGCAGCACTCCCACACACCGCCCTGAGTGCCAGGCTGAGCACCTCTCTCCACAGAGTGGCTGCGGCATGGTGGACCTGCGGGAGTGCGTGATTGCCCTGTCAGTCGTGTGCCGGCCAGCCCAGACCCTGGACACCATCCAGCTGGCCTTCAAGGTGAGTGGCAGAGCTCTGCTGCAGGCAGCTGCCATCACTGCCATGGGCGGGGCCCTGTCTCCTGTAGGCCAGCATCCCTCATCCCAGTGGCTCGTGGCTCACTTCAGGAAACCCCTTCCTCTCGCTGGTGCCCTCCTCTGGACACCGTTTCCTAAGGACCAGCCTCATACTGTGTGTGTCCCTCCCAGACATGGCCCTGTCCTGCTCAGCCCCAAAGCTGGGAGGGACCAGGTCCCGCGGTGGCACCTGCAGCCTCCAGGCAGCACTGTGCGAGGCACCTTGGTTCTCTACGTGGCCACCAGGTGGCACTGGAGGCCCACTGGAGACTGTGACTGAAGATGCAGCCTGGCTCCCAGGCAGGCATGGCTCTGCCTCCACACCCTCCTTGTTCCCATGACATTGCCTCCCACTGTCCCCCAGGTTTTGACCGCTTGTCCCCCTATAGCTTCTGTCACCTGGGTCCCCTCTCAACTGAGGGTTACCCCCCTCCCAAGCTCCCAGAGCCGGGCTGGAGCCCAGAGCTGAGTGCTGGACAGTGCGGTGGCCTGGGTGACGCTGCTGTCCCTTGCAGATGTACGGGGCGCCCGGGGATGGGCACATCTATGAGGACCACCTCGCCTGCATTCTCAGGACCGCTCTGGGTGTGGCCGAGCTCTCTGTGACCAACTTGTTCCGGGCCATCGATGGAGAGGACAAGGGGAGAATTTCGTTCGGTATGAGGAGTAAGATGTGAGGGCCTCGGGGTGCAGGCCAGTGAAACCCACCTCCTGCCAGATCAGCTGCCACCTGCCCGCTTGACACAGGGTCCCGGGGTGGGGGGTCACAGACCTGGCCTACAAGTGTCCGTCAGCTGCAGGGTACCCGTGCCTGAGCTGGGTAGGGCTGTCCTCAGGAGGCTGCCTCTGTGGTCCCACACAGCTCCCTGTCAGGCTCCATGCCCAGCTGCTGCCCCCAGGTGTGGGATGAGCAGGTGCCGAGAGGAGAAAGCAGGAGACAATGGAGCCACCACTGTGAGGGGTTTGCAGCTGGGGACCCCGCAGGGTCACACAGACAGCAGCCAGTTTGCTTCTAGTCCTGGGACATTTGCTGAGCCTGACACACTCAGTACAGCGTGGACAGCTGAGCACAGCCGTGGCGCAACCAGCCAGTTGGGGCCACCGAGCACCTGCTCAGTGCAGCTGCGGCGGGATCATCACACCTGTGCATCTGCATAGGGCTGTCCATGTCTACGTTGACACCCAGCAGTGTGTTCCCAGGGCCCAGTGCCATGCTCACCACAGTGCCCAGGGTCTGGGGCTGGTGCCGTGTCCTTGCCCTGCCCGATGTGGCACGGCCAGGCCAGCAGTGCTGGTCTGTGGCACCTCACAGATGCAAGCTCTTCCTCGCACGAGGGTAGCAGGAAGGCAGGGGCCTCGCGCGCTGCTCCTCATGGTCACTGTGATCTGGCACGTAGGGAGACCCTGAGGTGGGGCTCTCACCCCCCAAGGCCACCTGGTTCACAACCCAGGTCCAAGGAAGGAGCCCGAGCCCTGGGCATCACTGCTCGAGGTCCTGGCATCCACTGGTTCCCTTGTTTTTGCAGCCGACTTGCAGAGGTTCGCGGAGCTGTACCCTAACTTTGCTGAGGAGTACCTGTACCCTGAGCAGCGGCCCTTCCATGGCTGTACCCGGACACCCTCCACGCCGACCCCCAATGGCTTCTGTACCGATTTCAGCCCTGAGGGCTCGGACTTGGGGGCAAAGCCACCCTCTAAGAAACTGGACTAGGGCTCGTGCCCAGGGGCTGGGTCTCCTACGGCCACCACTGCCCTCAGCCAGGAGCCCAGGCCCTCGGGGACCGCTGTGCTGTGCCTGGCCAGTCTTTGCGCCGAGTTCCAGAGACCTGGGGCTTGTTGCGTGTTTCTCTGTGAAGAGCCTCGGTTCGGAGCATGTGGAGAGGCGGCTCTGGGCAGGGCTCCGTGGCCTGGAGGGGTGGGCACCAGCAGGGCCTCGCCCCTTGTGGTGAGTCCCTGCTCCGAGTTCCCTGTCACCACCTCCCAAAATTCCCTCCCTGACCAGTGGAGCACAAGGTCACTGTGCTGTGATCCAGGGTCGAACATGGGGCCAACGGTCACCTGCACTGTGATCCAGTGACCTCCACTGCCTTGGGTCACGACACAGAGGAACCGCTGTCTGGTTTTTAAACATTTCTATATTTGCGCAGGCGCGCATGAGTATTTTATAACTTCATTTAGGTACTTCAGAAGACATTCAGCATTTTTTTAAAGAAACGAGAAAATTGTTTTTCTACTTCATTTTTCCTGTTGAGGTCGGAGGCCAGTTATTTATTTTCGGTCTCGGGCTCTGCCCTGCGTTCCCAGCCGGTGTCCCCGCAGGTCAGCTCCTGTCCTCCCGACCCGGCTCGGGCACCTGGCCCCAGGTGCTCTGGTCTCCATCCTTTCGAAACCCCTTTTTATAACTTTGCCAGTTTGGTGTTTCTGTTTCAGCATAACAAGATCTACTTCACTGTAGCGTAGGCTCCACCTGCGACAGAGTGGGGGACACAGCAGGGGGACAGTTGGGGTCCCCAGGTGCACCCTGGATATAGACTGGGGCCGGCAGGCCCGTCCCCCACCCCAGGTCCTGGCGGGACTGAGGCCTGGTCTCTGCTCCGCTTCCCAGGCGCCCCTCGGTGCCCCGCTGTCCCGCTGGGGGAAGCAGCTGTCATGTGAGCGCGGGTGGGAAGAGGCTTGGCGGACTGGGTGGCATCTGGGGCACCTGGCTGCCCGTCCCACCTGTGCCCTCGAGTCTTGTGATGCGGTCACAAGCCCCTCTGTGCAGCAGTGCAGTGCCGCAGGTGAGGCTGCAGGTCTGTCAGGGGTTTCATTTTATTCCTGAGATGAACCAGTAACACCGGGGTCTCAACACTGAGCCACTGCCAAGCCAGTCGAGGATGCGTGTCAACCGCTTCCCCAAACACAGCCCGCATCTCTCCAGAGGGTACCTTGGGAAACCAAACCCATCTGTCACCAGCGCCACATTGCCGCCAGCGCGACAGTGTCATGTCTGCAAGGCAGTCCAGGTCCTGGCATATGGGGCCTGGGGAAGGACAGTGATGATTTTACAACTGTAGCACACATCGGTCTCAGTTTTGGTTTTGGTTTTCGGTTTCTTTGAGACAGGGTCTCACTGTGTACTCCAGGCGACCCCCTCCATCACCTCAGCCTCTGAGTGCTGGGATTGCAGAGGTGCGCTGCCGCACCTTGCATATAAAATTCATCCATACCACGGGAGCGCCTAAGGCAACTCATGAAGGAGGCATAAACTAAGATGTCCTGCGGGAGGGCTGTGAACCTCCCTGCCGCCTGCAGATGAAGGGTTCCTGGGAACCTCTGAGACGCAGCCCGGATGGATGTTTTACCTCCTGAGCCTTCAGCTCTGTGGGAGCCGCTCTGTGGGGATGTACTTAGGGGAGGGCAAGGTCTCCATGCAGAGCCCTCTTCCATGGAATAAATAGCATGAAGGCGTGGACCCCACGAGTGCGTGCATGTCTTGTTCATAGTGAGACTTGGGAGCGGCCCTGGGGGGTTACAGGTGCCACCATCCCGTGGAGTTGGTGTCTGGCTTCTCTCCATACACGAGGCCTTGACCACATGATGTCACTGGGGAGAAGGAGTCCTGCGTCCATTCCTGTGCAACTGTAAAAGATTTCCAGGTAAAATTAACAGCTAAGGAGCAGCCCTGCAGACCCCCTAAATGCTGGGCATGCGTGGCCCCAGCTTCTGTGACCAGGTAGACTCCTGACTGCAGAGAGTGTAGCCAGGAAAGCCACTGCTGGGCAGGCCACAGGGGACACAAACCCGGCCTCTGAGGCAGAGCGCATTTGTGGGTCCCACAGCAAGGATGGGCCAGAGGTACAAGTAACACGGGGGCCAGCTGTGCATCCCCAAAACCTGCCTGCCCCCTTGCCCTGCCAAGCTGGCCACTGAGTAGAAGGCTGACCCCACCCCCAGGTGCACAGCTGATGGACCCACTCAGGGCCTGAGTGTCTGCTGCCTCCTGCACCCTCTCCAGGACCTTGGCCTCCACTGCGAGTAGTGCTGATGTTTCTGGGGCAGCCCCAAGCCTGAGCGGCACCCACCAGTATGACCAGGTGCCTAAGATAAACCAAAGGTTTGTTGTGGCCCACGGGTCCGAGCACTGGGCCCAGGGTTAGCTGGCTCGAGGGACACATCCAGTGGAGAAGCTGCAGTGAGGATGGCTGGGGACCGTGAGGCCGGGGGCTGCGCCTGCCAGGCCTCACTACTGCAAACTTGGGAGGAGCCCAGGGTGAGTGCAGCCCAGGTCCAGTTGCCTCCCTGGAACCTCCTCCGAGCAACAGAGACTTTGGGGATCAACAGTTCACCTCCCCACCCCCAAGTGTCCTTGAACATTGGCACTGAGGCAGAGGTGAGTGACCAGTTAGCCAGCCCGCAGCCCCCCACCGATGAGACCGGCCTCCTCTGTGGCTGTGGCCTCAGCCACGGTGTGCCCGGCCCCTGGCCCCGCCTGGCCCATCTTGGGTCACAAAGCACAGGAAGGCCCTGAGCTCACAAGTGGCCCCAGCTGCCCTGAGTGGCTTCCCAGTTGGGAACTCATCTTGCCACAGTGATTCAGAAGCAGAGGGCGCCCAGGGCCAAGCACAGCAGGTGATGGGCCCAGCTGGAGTGCCCCTGGGGAGCGGTGAGCTCAGCTGCAGAGAAAGGATACTGATCGGGGTGGCTTCTTGCTTGTCGGTTGACAGAGTAAACTACCAAGAATGGGTCCCCATCTCTGACAGGCCAGCAGCAGCAGCCCTGCCCAGTGTCACCATCCCCATGCCCTGGGCTGGCAGGTCAGGTGGCACAGGGAGGTGACATCCAAGCCCCAGATCTTGAGTTCTGAGCGCAGAAGTGACCTCTCCCTCCCCTCCTCAAGGGGAGTCACAGGGCTGCCCACCTCATGGGGTGGAGCATTGGACAGTGGCTCATAGCCCTGTCCTGTGGCACGACATCCTGACCCCAAGGCTGTCCCTACATCCTCCAGGCCAGTTGTTGGGCACTGGATGGTCTAAGTGGGGACCAGGTGACTACTGACCTGGCCCAGTTGGTGGCCAGCAGCTTCCACACTGCCGTCCATGCTTTGTCCCCCCCCCCCCACCCTGCAGGAGCGGGGTTCCATCCAGTGAGGCCAGGTGCTGGGAAGACACAGGCTGACATCCACCACCATGTTAAAAGCAACAGTCTGTGCAGGGGGCATCAGGAAAAGCAGGAACTGGGCGGGTGGTGACCTGGGGTCCCAGCCCAGCACAGGGAGAAACAGGGACAGAAAGAGCGGTGACCATGGGCAGCCTCAGCTGCTCACAGGGACTTGGAGTTGGTCAGTGTGCTGTGACAGAACAAGATGCCCACGTAGTCTCCGGTGCCAGTCCCTAGCCGTTGCTCCATCCCTCTGGCCAGCGGTGGGCAGCCTAGGGCACGCGTTGTTTTAAGATGTTAACGTGTACACTGTTTTTCCTAATGTGAGATCTCAGTGTTCAGGTTTCCCTGCAGTGCTGCCACTCTGCGATAGCTGCGTGGCCTTGGGGTTTGCTTCCCTGCCGTAGCCTGAGGTGAGGGAGGACGTCGTGTCCAGGAAGCCGCCTGCCTGACAGCCGGGAAGCAGAGATCGTGAGAGGCAGACAGGAGGGCTGGGGACAAGACAGAACACTCACCAATGGCCCATGACCCCATCCTGCCCTGAGCCCCAAACCTGGCAGTAGGATCATGGGTACCCACCATACCTAAACTCAGACAGGAGGGAAGAAAAAGTATTTGACCAAGTAACGAGCAGATCTTGTCAGATCTATGACCTTGTACCCAAGAGGCTCAGTAAACACAAAGCAGAGTTTTAAAAAAAAATGCAATCAGACACAGAGCACATTGCCAAAACCACTAAGAGAGAATTTCAGAAGTAACCTGGGGAAAACGTAACCATGGAGGAACACAGCTGAGAAGGGCACAGCTGAATTCTACAAGAAATTTAGAGAAGACCTGACAACACCACTTTGCAAACTCTTTAATGAAATTGAATGGGAAGCAGTATTCCTGAATTCATTCCTGGAGGCAAGCAGAGAAAGGACCAAACTAAGAAAGAGAATTACAGCCCTGTCTCCCTAATGAACAATGATGCAGAAACACTCAATAAGATACAGGCAAACAGACCACAACAAATCGTCAAGAAGATTGTACACCATGACAAAGTGGGATTCATCCTAGGGACACAGGGATCTTTAACATACATAAATCCATGGATGTAATACATATGCACAGAACCAAGGACAAAAATCATATGATCAGAGTGTGGGGGGAAATAATTCAAGCTTTGAAAGATAATAACCTCCAGCCAAGATTGATATATCCTGCACAACTGTCCCTAGAAATTGATGGAAAAACAAGGTACTTCCAGGATAAAGAGGAACTAGAGGAATTTGCAACCACCAATTCAACTCTACAGAGATTACTGCAGGATATTCTAAAACTGAAAAATACCAAGATTCCAGAAACAGTGGCAGAGCGGCCACAATGAATGGAGCAGAAAGCGAAATGAAGAGGACAAATGGACAACTAATGACAGAAAAAAAGCTCAACAGAAATGAGGCAGAGAAGGTTGGATGGTAGGAACAGCCATTTTGGAGAAAACAAGACATCATAATAGGTAGTGCTGATTTAATATCCTCTTGTTTTGAAGTCCCATCAAGCTTTTGTTCTTCTGTCTCCATCGGTTTTAACGTGTTGTATTTTATTGGATTTTATTATATATGATAATATAAACAAAAACTTTTATAGACAAGGAGATTATACAGAAACCATTGTTCATTTTCTGTTAGTTGATTCTAACTACCCTGTAATACTGTCATTCTCTTGAATGGTTTTACATTGTCTTGATATGTTTGATGCTACAGTATACAAGTTATACCCAAAGATTTTAATGGAAGAGACACTATGGTAACTACTATTATGTCGAGATTATCTTGTGGTGAAACACTATTTTGCTTAAATGGCTATGTTTTGACCTGCACTGCTTTGTTGTTATGCCCTCTTTTATCTCAATCTCCTTTTTATTATCTACTTTTTCATTTTTATCCTTTTAATTAAGGGAAAAATAAATAAAAAGTAGCAGGATATATTATAGTAGCCCACTTTGATTTCCTGTTAACTTGATTTGAAATTCTGTGTTGCTCTCACCATCTTGTTTTGACTGATTTTCCTCTATTCTGTTATGCTTGATAGTACCAAGTTTGAAAGTCTAGGCAACAACTATGAAGACAATAAGATCCATTGTGACGCCCATTCTGGTTGACTATTATCTTCTTTTTAAGTCCTCTAATGTCTCCAATTTTTTGGTTTTATTGGTCTTATTCTTTACTGTTTTGTTCAATTTTATTATAACTGATGATATAGGCAATTCTTTTTAAGATAACGAGGCATTATGGTAACCATTGTTGATCACCTTGTGTTTTGTTTTTACATTATGTATTATGTCCATCCTTTTGATTTGACTGACTATGTTCTGGTATGTCACATTTGGTTTTACTTTCTTCAAAAAAAAAGTAAGAAGAACTGTGGGAGTAATAAAACCCAAAATGTGTTATTGTCATTGTACAAAAGAAAGGAAAAGAAAGTTCTCTAAAAGATATAACTGCATATATATTTAAGTGTATAAGATAGATAACCATATTACTGAGTTTTGTTGGATTATTGAACAAAACTAGTGATTTCCTACTGTTCATTTTTTCTGAAATTCTGTATAACTTGTACCCTTTTTCTGTTTTTTTTTCTTTTTTCTCCTTAAATAAAATTAAAAAAAAAAACTAAAAGTTTTCTCTCTAAAATCAGGAACAAGACAAGGATGTCCACTATCTCTTATTCAACATAGTCCTGGAAAGTTTATCTAGAACACTAAGACAAGAGAAAGAAATAAAAGAACTAAAGATAGGAAAGAAGTTAAACAGATGACATGACATTCTACTTAGAAGACCCAAAACTCCACCAAAAGATTACTAGATTTGATAAGCAAATTCAATAATGTAGCTGGTTACAAAGTCAACACTCAAAAATCAATAGCCTTCCTGTACAAAAATAAACTCACTGGGAGCGAAATCAGGGAAACAATACCTTTTACAATAGCATCCCCCCAAAAATGAAATACCTAGGGATCAAGCTAACAAAGGATGTCAAAAACCTCTATATTGACAACTGCAGTGCTCTGAAAAAGGAAAGTGAAGAGGGTATTAGAAAATGGAGATATCCCTGCTCTTGGGTAGGAAGAATCAATATAGAGAAAATGGCCATACTTCCCAAAACTGTTATACAAATTCATTGTAAACCTAATCAAAATTCCAATAGTATATCTCACAGAATTAGAGAAAACAACCTTAAAATTCATCTGGAACCAGAAGAGATCTAGAATCGCAAAGGCAATTGTGGGCAACAAAGACAAGACAGAAGGCATCACAATTCCTGACTTGAAATTATACTGTAAAACTACTATAATAAAAACAATGTGGTACTGGAAAAAAAAACAGACCCAAATATCAATAGAAGAGATTAGAAGGTGTAGAAATAACTCCAGACACACTAAGCCATCTTATCTCTTTTTTTTTTTTTTTTTGTCTTTTTCATTTTTATCGGTACCAGGGATCGAACTCACAACCACCTGCTTTGCAAGGCAGGTGCTTATGCCGCTGAGCTAAATCCCCAGCCCCTAAGCCACCTTATCTTTGACAAAAGTGTCAAATACATTCACTGGAAGAAAGACAGCCTCTTTACTAAATGATAGGAAGTGGGGGTTTAGCTCAGTGGCACAAGCACCTGCCTGGCAAGCGTCATGAGTTCAATCCTCAGTTCAAAAAAAGAAAAGAAATCTCCACACTGATTTCCACAGTGGTTGCATCTTTAATATATTGTGCTGGAAAAGCTGGAAAACCGTGTGATCACTGTAAGAATGTCAGATTGACATGATACAATAATATGTACGATTTTGATCCTGATTTACTGTATAAATATGTAACTGTTAACACTTTAGGTGTTCAAATGCTAAAAAATCCATGGACAGTAGAAAATAGGCTTCTTTAATGCTGTTAGGTGCTTCATGTTTAGATAAGGTAGTAATGTTAAGCTTACTGCCACTAACATGCTGTATTGTTACCAGTCTTCTGGTATGTTCAACAACTAAGGAAAACTACCCAGAAAGTCTCCAGGTGGCCTCAGCTCTGGCCTGTCTTGCCCCCTGAGGTATCTCTTCGTTCTCGGTTCAATCATGCCCAGGCCACGCCACAGCTCTGCACGTGTATCCAGGTCCAACACTCTCCAACATACTTTTTGTTTTGTTGCTACACAAACGGGGGCCCGCTGAAGCTAGAGAAGCTGCCTCAGGAGAGCTCCCACAATTTAAACTCCGCACAGTCCATCAGTTCATAACAGCAGTGACCAGCATAGCCAGCAATTGCCAGAGGAGGCCAGTGATCCCAGCTTCCCCCACAGCCAGCATTTCGCATGGCATCACACCTCCGGGGGCCATGCTTTTCTGTGGGAGGTTCAAGACCACACTAAGGTGAGACTCGCATTAAATATAAACAGTTTCTTACTTTCAAGGTCAGTTAGGGCTCCTCGGGAGCTATCTTAGAACCATGCACAGCACCTCTTGGCTCTGCAGTCAGTGTCAGCCCTCTGGAAGAGTCACAGCCACTGCTTGACTAAGTTGCTTTCTGTGAAAGCTTGGGGGATTTTTCTCCTGGCGACTCTCCTTAGGCCCACCACACATCGAAGATCACTTTCCTCTGTGGCCCCATAATTTTCATGATCAGAAGTCCAGGGACTGAGTATCTTAGAGTGACATAAGCAGAGGTTCCTTTATGTCCTGGATCCCCTCTGACCTTGAAGGACTGGGGCCAAAACACTGGCTATGCTTTTAGCTCATCCATCTAGTTTTTGGCCTCTAAACCTTAGTTGTTGAACATCCAGAAGAGAAGACTGGTAATAATACAGCATGTCAGTGGCAGTAAGCTTAACATTACTACCTTATCTAAACATGAAGCACCTAACAGCATTAAAGAAGCCTATTTTCTACTGTCCATGGATTTTTTAGCATTTGAACACCTAAAAGTGTTAACAGTTACATATTTACACAGTAAATCAGGATCAAAATCGTACATATTGTATCATGTCAATCATGACATTCTTACAGTGATCCAAATTTCTGTTTTGACATAAAATCTCCTTTTTAGTCTAATCACCCTTATCTAATACACAAGAGACTTCTATCCTACTTATTGACCTTTAGACAAATGTGAATCTCACATTTGTCTTTGGTACCAGCAGATGTCTGAACATGAAACAGCAGTTATTATCATAAGTAATATTACAACCTGGGAGACCTCTGCATCACCAAGTTGATAGCATTCAACTGTTACGGCCCCAGGAAACCTTTGCACAGGCATTTTCAAACCAAAAAACTTGTATGATTTCTTTTGGATAAGGACCAATATGAATATATCACAATAATATATTTTATAGCTTTTAGTTGGGGTTTCTCCTAGAAGGCCATTGAAGTTACTGGGGTCTCCTATCAAGAAACAAAAACTGGTTAAAAATGTTCCCAGGCAGCAGCTTTCTTATTTATCAGTCAAGTCCTGTCCAGCAATCCCAACCCCAAATTAATTTTTGATCAGACGACCTAAAAATGGAAAATAGAGAAACTGAGCTCAAAAGGAACAGCTATTCACAGAGCAGACAAGTGGACAAACATGGACAGATGATCTGTACAGATTCAAACGAACACAGAAACAAGCACAGAGCCCGCTGGGATTGGTGAGAATGCTCCAAGTTCCCCCGGGGTCATTCAGGTACGGGGACGTACCATGCACCCTCACTAAACTAGCTCACCTCCTATCTCCTGTGCTGTCTGGGCTTTCCCCGGGTGCTCCGTGCCACTTGGGCACTCCTGTATGGGCATTTTTGCTTTCTGCTCCCCATATGTGAACAATCACTAGCTCAGCAACTCCCAGCAACCACTTATGAACAGACTGGACAGACGACAGTATACAGACAGACTGCAGACATCTTGCAAAAGCAGAGTGCACTCAACACATGCTTAACCAAACCGAATTACAGTACTTTTTACGCACTTAGAATTTACCACTGTAAACCAACCAGCCGGATTTGTCTTGTCGTAGACCCATTAGCAGCGATCTCATAGAAAAGGATCTTGGAAAGGACTGCTGGGCTCTGCAGGTAAAGAGAAAATAAAGGGACCTGTACACCAAGGGTCGGCAGAAAGGCCACGCCCGGCCTGCACAAACAAGCAGCTTTCATTTAAAGTACGCCAGGCAAGTGGAGTAAATGTAATCACTCAACAATATATGCCTTGCTGCTCTGGATGGCAACAGAGCCCCCGCGGGCAAAGGGGCTGATGGAAAATGAGCAGGAAGGGAGGCAGTCCTTGCGGACTCACCCTGCTGCAGTGAGGTGAGCGTGTGAGCAGCACTTCGAAGGGCCTGCTGCAGAGGAGAGGTCGCGTCAGCGGGATCCGTGCGACCCCATAAAGCATCGAATAGAGGAGCTAAAACCTGAAAAGGAAAGGTTGTCAACAGCTAAGGCGAGGCTTGGGCATTCATTCGTCCTCCAGGAGAGTGGCAGCAGCCACCACAGTAGAGCCAAACCCTTGATTTTCACGAGTAACAGCACGCGCTTAGAGGAGACATAGGGCAAGACAATTGGCTGATCTACAAATTCAGAAACATTTAGTTGAAGGGCAAAAGAGACCACAATTGAAGCAACAGTTTGTAACCAATACCCTAAATAATGCCAATTACAAAAGTGCTTTTAAGTCCATGTTCCTTGACAGCCTTAACTTTTTAAACAGAGTATTGCAAACTTGAAAAGCAGGTCTCTTGTTGATGCAAAACAGGGCAAGCAACTAATTCCCCATGTCGTTTAGCTTCTTGGGCCAGCTTTTGCATGGGAGTTAGAATGGGTGGGCAGTTGCCCAGAGGCTTTTCAGGGCCTGTGTCTTGCAGTGGCAGCAGCGAGGGGGCAGAAACGGCACCCCCAGAAAAACTGGGAAGCCGACCATGTGGTGTTTCATCTGCCAACCTGCCAAATGCTGTCACAGCCTCCCAGCAAAGATATCAGGTGTGTGACAGAGGAGCTCGAGGCGCCTCATGTCGCAGTTTGCCTCTATTGTCCCAGTCCTCCATAATGAGCGTAACCCCCGCAGGAGATCAAGGGCACCCATCATGAATTTCCAACAGAGTTGTACCACACTATCCTCAGGGCTAACACGGCCCGGCTTCCTAAGAAGCAAAAGCAGTGCTGCTCTGCGGTTCTGCTGCACTTCAGAGAATTGTCCACGACTTACCTGACAAAGGGATTTTCCGAAGAAAATGAGGTAAGGTAAAGTAGATACACAAGGAGACCGTGTTCCACCCCAGGAACACAGCAAAGCTAAGTCACCCTCCACAGCAGACATCTCCACTGTCGAGGCCCTGTTCAGCCGCCAGGCTGCCGGGGTTGTACGTAGGCCCCCAGGGCCCCAAGCAGGTGCATGGAGGAGGCTCCAAGGAATGAGAAAGCTGCATGATCATTAGGGCTGCAGGAGGACTGAAATCTTCAGCTGAGTTCGTAACTCTGCTACCCGGCTGGTCGACGCTGGGCAGCCTGTATTTAATCAGGACAAGCAAGGAGCTGAGTGGACAGTGGAGGAAACCTGAGCAGGATCTTAGGAGGGGCTCATGGACCTCTCAGAGCAACAGACAGTGCTAATGAAGGGGAACGACCCAGAAAGTCTCCAGGTGGCCTCAGCTGTGGCCTGTCTTGCCCCCTCGTTCTCAGTCTAATCATGCCCGGGCCACGCCATGCCCTGCACATGTATTCAGCTTCAGTGCTCTCCGACAATCAGTGAGAGTGGCTGTGGTTCACTTTGGGGAGCTCTGCTCCTTACATTGAGCATTGCTTGCTGGCTCCCGAAGGGAAGGTGTGTGCTGTTTAATCTCCAGGAGAAGTCTGTCGTGCTGGCTTTTTGTCATTTACTTCACTGTTCTCAGAGGAGCTCGGGGACCTCCGTATTGCTGAGGATGGCTGTGGTGCCCTGGTCTTTATTATGAGGGTGAGTTCTCAGCTCCAGTGTAGAACCCTCAACCTACCAGCACAGCTCCTTCAGCCCGCTGGTGTGGACTTTCTAGCTTCCACAACTGACCTTTGGGCCTTCCCAGTGTGGATCTATAGAAGAGACTGGCTTGAGTCCTTCTCGTGGTCTCTAGACCTCCAACTGGACTCGTGGGAGGTGTTGTCATTGGCTCTGGGTCTTTATCTGGACTCATGCAGGGCATTGCTGTGGGATTCAGACTCTTGGCTGAATATTCTGCGTCTTAGTGTTTTGGACAGATTCCCTGCACTTTTTGTGTTTTACTTTGAGTGGTCATCTTAAAATAATACTGTAAATCCTGTGACCTGATTGTAATTATTCTCCTCACAACCCCTGAATACAGCAGACAGAAATCTCATCTTCTGCTTTTCTGTCCTAATTCAAGCCCTAATTTTGGTGGGCTTCCCCAGAGGGGGGTCACTGCCAGCTGAGAACTGATGAGGGCAGTCCCCCCACGGGGTGCTCGCCTCTCTCCGCCCCTCATCGTGGATCAGGATATTAGCGTGTGGCGTCTGCCAGATGCTGAGCGCATCTCACTGAGCCTCGCATTCCCGACAGGGTAACAATGCACAGTGCCTGGCCAAGTCTGTTATCTGCTGACTGTGTGAGCCCAGCTCTGAAAGGACCACATGGCACTGGAGTCCCGGGAATTAGTGTCACGGCAGAGCTGGTGTCTGGGCCTTGGCTCAGCAGCCCCGTCCTCTGGGCAGACGCCCTGGGAATGGCCATGGCCCCTTTGGCAGCTGAGGGGATCGATTTGCATTCACAGTGTTGCTCCTGCTCTTCCCTGCCCTCCCTCCTCTCACTGCAGGGTCAGGTTTGTCCCCTGTACTCTGGACAGGACGGGGAGCTGGGTCTCATGTGTGATGAATGAGTTTTATCAGACTTGTCTGTCCCGATGGCTGATAAAGGGGCACATGGTTAACCAGCCACCACTAAATGGTGATGAAATCACAACACAAGCCAATATCACCCCAACATCTGGAGGAGACACTGGAGATGGACTAATGGTAAGAACATAGAAAATTAACCATTGAGAAGTAGAAAATCATTGGGGCTGGGGATTTAGCTCAGAGGCATAAGCACCTGCCTTGCAAGCGCATGATCATGAGTTCAATCCCCAGTACCGACAAAAAAAAAAGAGAGAAGTAGAAAGTCATTAACTTAGAGGAAAATAAAACAGTTCCAAGAAAGAAATGCAACCCTGGAGCACTGAGCTCAGTTTAAAGCCACAAGCATCTCAGCCTGGAGCTCGGCCACCAGACAGTTCCGTGGACAGGGAAACTAGGGGAGCAGTGCCGGAGGGGCCCCGCGGGGGAGGGCATTGTCCGGAGCTGAGGTTGGTGAGGCCCACACCCCACTGCCTGTGCACAGAGGTCTCCCCCAGCTGCATCAGAGTCGGGCCCTTGAGCTGAGGGTGTTCTGGTTCAGATCCACAGTGACCCCAGGAGGCTCCTGTGTTCAGAGGCGGGGCCTTTAGGAGGGGCTGGGATCCCACTGACCTTAGCAGTGGATTAACATGTTCACGGCTGAGGAGCTGCTGGTGGGCGGTGGAGAGGAGGGGGTCGTGGGTGAGACCTGAAAGGCCACATTCCAGCCCCGTGCCTGCCTCCCTCTGCTTCCTGGCTGCCCTGTGTGAGCAGCTCTCCTGCACCATGAGGTTCCTGCCTTGGAGCCATCGACTGTGGACTGAACCTCAGCAACCGTGAGCCAGTGACCCTCTCCCGCTAAGCTGTTGTCAGCTACTTCATCCCAGGGACAGTTGTCCCTGCGAGTGGCTGGCCAGGAGCATCTACTTGCCTCCCGCTTCTGCTCGGGGCCCTGCTGGCCTGGACCAGCATCACCGTGGCACAAAGCAGGCGGAGAGCAGGGTTGGGCTTGGGGACAGTGCAGCAGGGTCCTGTGCAGCTCTTCTTCCCACAGACCCGGAGGTAGAGGTGCTCCGCCATGGGCCTGCAGAACCAGCAGGGGGAGCTGCCACCCTTGTGGCTGCCCCAAAGAGCTAGTGCATGGCTGCGCACACAGGGATCCTGGAAAGAGAACTGGGTGAGTCAGGGGATGGCTGAGGCTCCTGCCGGGCAGTGGGCACAGGTGGGCTCAGGGATGAAGTGAGCAGGAGAGACAGGGCCACCTCTGGGTGGGCTCCAGGCACCCTTGCCCCACCATGCAGGTGCTATGAACTCTGCCCCAGCACCCCACTCAATCTGGCTCAGCTTCCCAAGTGCCTGGGCCAAGAGGTGGACAGCAATCAGGTGGCCCTGGAGGCCCCTCATCTGGTCCCACCAAGCCCCTTGAGGCCACCTTCCTGGCCTGCAACCTGCAAGCCTTTGGGCACCTAGGCGAGGTTGGGGTGGGCAGCCCTGCTGAGCTCCCTCTGGCTTCCTCTGAGACCCATGGGGCACCTGCTGGGAAAGGGGCATTTCTTCTGTATCACCTCACTTCTCGAGGGGGCCAGGGCTGGCAGGGCTCTGTGGTCCCCGTCCTTCTGAAGAGAAGGCAGTACATTGTCAGGTGTGCCCACCCCAGCCCTCCTTTCCGGTCTAGCCCAGCCTGGCCTGGCCACCTTGCTGTGGGGAATTTTCTTTCCTTGGAAAACTTCCAAGACATTGAAGCTGGCTCTGCAGCCTGGTTCCCTCCAAGTCCAGGTCATGCACCCCAAGTTGCCACGCCGTGATTAAAGATGCCCCTTCTGTGCAATCTGTTTCAGTTCCTCTTTGTGTGGGGTTGAATGTTGTCCCCCTTTGCAGGTGGGCCCTTCCTGCAGATGGGCCTTTACAGCAGCACCAAGGAAGGTGAGGCAGGAGGCAGGGCTGCCAGCCCACATCCCACTGTCCCCATAGACAGGCGTGTGAAGGGGACAGGGCCGGGCGATTGTGCATCTGGGTGCCCATGGATGGCGCCAGAGACTCCGGTGCCCTATGGCTGGAAAGGGGCCTGCAGCCTGTGCCCCCCAGTGTTGGGAGGAAGCAGCCCTGGACCTGACTCTGGCCCAGCCACCCCTGCACCCTTGGGGTGCTGGGGACAGGTATGTTGCGGCACTTCAAGACACAGCCAGAGGTCAGAGCTTCAGAACCCAAAGCTGCTCACCCCAAGACCCAAGAGGCCTTTTAGCTCATGCTTGAGCAGAGCCCCACGTGGCTTTCTGTTTATTTTCCATGTCTTCCATGAACTCCTGCAAGAACAGGACCCCAGCACCGATGCCGCCACCATCACTGTTTCCTGATGCTGGAGGAGTCTACACGCACCCTCCACAGCCTGACCTGCCCTCGGGGTCCCAGCCAGGACCCCACACCAGCCCATACCTATCTGTCTACATCTGTGTCTGTCTGACTCTCTCTGTCTCTGTCTCTGTGTCTCTCTGCCTCTCTCCTCCCCCTCCCCCGTTCCCCTTTTCCCTCCTCCCTCCCCCCCAATCTATCTCTCTCTCTCTCTCTCTCTCTCTCTCTCTCTCTCTCTCTCTCTCTCTCCCACCTCACAGCGCTCTGTAGTCAAGCCTGGTCCCCAGCAGACTGAGGCAGGAAGCCGGTGATGTTTTGTATCTGGGGCTCCGCACCTGCATCTGAAGCTGTGGCAGGACCGTAATGAAGTGAGCTTGGCATTTAGGGCAAGGATCTGAGCAGGCAAAGGTCGTCGTTTAATCAGGTTTAATCAACTCATAACCAAGCAGCTCGGCACTACCTCTGCTCGGCCGGGAAAGGCCGACCCTGGCCTTTGTCCCCTGCGGCCAGACTGCTGGCCCAGCCCCCACCACATCGCTGAGGACTCAGCCCTGATCCCTCTGTGATGCTGCTTCCTGCCTGCTTCCCGCCAGGTGCAGGGGACCTGACGTGACCACCTGATGTCGCTCTGCCTTGAGAGTCACTGGTGCACTCTGAGTGTCACATGTCTGTAGCGAGGTCCCCACCCGTGACCCCTCATCTCCTGGGTGGGTGGGATGTGATCTGCGCCCTGCGGGGCTGTAATCCTTCCCATCTTCATTTGCTTGTGCCCTGGCCTCCCTCGCCACCGTCTCCACGGTTACAGGGTCTCCCGAGCACTCTGACTCCTCTGGTAGGGCCCCCTCCTGCTCCCTGACGCCCATGGGTTCCCCTTATCACCTCCTGGAGCCCAAACTCCCTCCCAGAGAGCCCGGGCCCCACTGCCTCCACTCTGGACCCTGTTAGAGCCTTGTCCACAGAGGACGGTGTAGGAGGTGGGAGCCCTGGGAGGTGATGGATCAGGGATGGAACCGGTGTCCCCAGCAGCAGCCCCAGGAGCTCTGCCTCCTCCCTGGGGATTCCCACCTGCTCCAGCCCACAGGTGCCCTCAGCAGACTGCAATGGCAGGGTCTTGGCCTGGAGGTCACCTGCTAAGCTGTGGGGGAGCACACACAGCAGGCCTCGGCCCTTCTCCCCACTGGGTCTCATTCAGCCTGGAGGCAGGCAACCAACAGGGCTACAAGGCTCAGAGAGCCTGAGGGTGTGGCCCCGGGAGAGGTGAACTCGGTGGTGCTGCTCCGCCCCCAGAGCAAGGCTGAGGCTGACTGCCCCCAAGGCCCCAACTTCCCTGCCTCTGGGGAGAACCCAGCCCTGACCCTAACCCAGATGGCAGAGCCAAGGCACCTCACTCACCCAGGGACCTCCTCCACCCTGAACTCGGCTCTGGTCTGGTGTCAGTAACATCGCAGCTCCGGCACTGAGGACTTTGCGTCCAGTCCTGGAGCCAGGGGCAGCCCGATGGCTGCCAGGCAGGTCCGGGAAACTGCCTTCCCACACGAGGAGCCTGGAGCCCGGCTCCAGAGTGTGCGCCGTGATATACAAATCTTGGGGCACAGAGAACCGCCGTCTGGGGGACCAGAGGAGCCCATGTGGAGTCCTGAGCCAGCAGGCAGAGAGCACGCCGGTGGAGGGCAAGGGACACTAGCAGAGCATCACCCCAACACCAACACTAGGAGAGCCATGCACCGATAAGGGGTCTGGAGGTGCGGGCAGGGTCCGGATCCTGCTGAGTCCAGGATACGAGGATGTGTGGGGAGACTCGGGCTGCTCGCGCTGGCCCCGCAGTCTGTACTCCGAAGTGTCTGGAAGCGCGCCTGGCTCCTAGGAGTTTCCAGGGGCGGGGCGGGGCGGGGCGGGGCGGGGCTGCACGGACCCCAGCGGCTGCATAAGAGCTCAAGACTGCACGCCCAGCACCAGAGACTGTGCGTTAACTCCGCGGACTACGCAGGCAGAAGCGAAGGAGGTGGCGGCAGGTGAGGCTGTGCCCACACCCCGAGGCCAGGCAGGGCAGGCGCCATCAGGCGGGATCGCTGCAACCAAGGGTGCAGGGTTGGGGGGCGCGGGGCGCTGCGCCCGGATCCTAGCGGCGGGCGGTGGCCGCTTTGCTTCTCACGTACCTGGCTCCAGTGTAGACCTGGCCCTCTCCAATTTGAGGCCTGGGACAGTGCGGGGCTCAGTGCCCCAACTGCCGGCTGCTGGGGCCTGGTGCGTGGGGCTCTCACCAGCTCTGGCTCTGCTGGGCAGGGAGATGCTTGGGGGGGGGGGGTCCGAGGTCCGGGCTCAGGAGGGGCCGCGACTCTCTGCCTGCGGATCCCTTGATCCCCCGCAGCCGGTCTCCACAGAGACACCCAGGCTCCGAACTTTGTGCCGTACTCTGCACGGGCTCCAAGCCCTCGAACCCTCGTGCTCCACTGCCTATCTCAGGAGTGGCTGCTTAGGGTGTGTGTGGTCCAGCGCCTGTCACCCTGAGCCAAAGGAGCAGGAAAAAGCAGCACAGAGTAACTTCTGCAGGGAGCCCTAGCTTCAGGAGGCTAAGTCGGGTGGGGCCGGGTCTGAGGTGGTCCTGTGCACAGTGTCAGCAGCCCAGCCCGGCCAGCTCCCTACCCACACTGACACCCTGAAAGCTCTGCCCTGGGAATGCGGCCACTGTCTCCCAGCAGAGCCCCCAGTGCCCCTGGCCACTCAGGTGGGCACAGCAGAGCTGGGCTGTCAGACCATTTCCAAACCCCCACCTATGTGGCTGAGGGTTTTGCTCTTTATTTTAATCCCGGGGTGCTACCAGCATACACAGCAGAGGACTGGCTGCAGCCAGTTTCAGAGGCTTCTGGGTACCGTGGCTGCCTGGAGGGCAGCCTGGGCAGGAGGGGCCTCGGCAGACCTGTCCCTGGTCTCCCTGGGACTCACAGATATGCTTACTCCTGGGGCTCTGGAGCCTGTCAAGGGTTAGCAGTGGTGCTGAGTTGCCCGTGCTGTGTGAGAACAGCGTCAGCGTGTTTGAGGGGAGTGAGCTCGCTCCCTGGCACATGCCGCTGGGCAAGAAATCAGAGGTGCTGCACTGTGCCTGACCCAGTGGGCTTGGGGAGGAGGAGCCAGCCTGCGTATATGCCTCTGGTCCTGTGTGACCCCGGTGAAACCCAGCGCCACCAAGCTGTGCCCCTTAGTGTGGGTGTGTGGGGTGAGCACGCAGGTCTCTGCCCTCGGCCCAGGCACTGACCCCATGCTCTCTGTGTTCCTCACATCGGCTGAAGACCAAGAGGAAGCCACGCAGAGCCCCGCATCCTGGGAGCCATGAGCGGGCGCAGGTGTCCCGTGGGGCTGACATCCTCAGTGGTGGCCCCGGCCAAGGAGCCCAACGCCATGGGGCCTCGGGAGGTGGAGCTTGTCCTGGTCAAAGAGCAGAATGGGGTGCAGCTCACTAACTCCACCCTCATCAGTGCGCCCCACAGCCCCACGGGGGCCCAGGAACGTGAGACCTGGGGCAAGAAGATCGACTTCCTGCTGTCCGTCATCGGCTTTGCCGTGGACCTGGCCAACGTCTGGCGGTTTCCCTACCTGTGCTACAAAAATGGCGGGGGTGAGTGCTGCCCGGGCTCCACCCAGGCCCCAGTGAGTACCTTGGATGGCAGATGGAGGTGCCCCGAGACCGCACACACTGCAGGGAGACCCAGCTCCTGACCATATGTGGTGGTACCGACTCCTCCTCCTCCTCAGCTGCCAGTCTGCTCAGGACCCTGAGAGGGGCACAGAGGGCCACGGAGGGAGAACCAGGAGGCAGCAGCCTGGGCGGCTCTGCTCTGCCTTCGTTTCCGACAGTCTTCCCTTGGGAAGTAAAGTTCAGAAGGCCTTCAGGCCCTGCAGTCTGGTTGATACAATCAGTGCACACAGAGAGTGTGGAGGCCCTGAACTCAGGTGTGTCCGCCTCACCGTCCTTCCCCCATCTCCACCAGATGGGGAGCTGGGACTGTGTGATTGGGCGCTCCTCCCGAGTCTCCTTCCCTTCCTGTCTGGCTTGGGCCCATGGGCTCCCTGGGCCAGACATTTGCAAGGCTTCTCCTGGGGATGCCAGTCGCATGCCCAGGTGCATGGGCCTCGTGGCTCCTCTTGGAGATGAGGGGACCAAGCGCCCCAGAGCAGAATGGAGCCCAGCCAAGACCACCCAAGGCTGATGAGGAGGCAGGAGGAACTTGGGGTCCCAACCACAGGTCCCACCAGCACCTGGACCCCAGCCAAGGCTGCAGGGAAGGGAAGCTGTGAATGCAGGAGCCCCTGAGGATCATGAAGAGTGGGTCTGGAGGGCCAGAGTGAGCAGGTGGCACCAGCACAGCTGGTGGGCAGGGCCTCCCCTCTGCTGGGGTCTCGCTGTGACCCAGGAGGAGTGGGGGGCAGGCCTAGAGAAGAGGATCACACCCACCGGGACAGCAGGGCCCCATCCCAAAAGGTGACCCCTGCCCCGCAGCTCCCTCTGCTCAAGGAGCCATCTGCCCACAGGAGCCTTCCTGGTACCCTACCTGCTCTTCATGGTGATCGCCGGGATGCCCCTGTTCTACATGGAGCTGGCCCTTGGGCAGTTCAACAGGGAGGGGGCCGCCGGCGTCTGGAAGATCTGCCCCATCCTGAAGGGTAAGGCACACCCTGGGGTATGGGCGAGTGGGCATCAGAGCATGCACACAGGCCTACTTGCTAAGGCATGGGGTTCCCGCACCTCGTGCTAACCTGAGTCTTGCTTTAGGGACAGGTCCTGACCTGGATATGAGAGTCCCTCAATGGTGCTGGGGACATGCCTGCCTCAGTGGTGATGGTCTGTGGTCAGGGTATTGAAATGGTACACAAGATTAAGCATCCATTGATCTATTGATCTGTCATCTATTCATCATCCATAAGTCATCCATCCGCCCACCCATAATCTACCTACCCAACCTTCTCACCCCTCAGTCCATTCGCTGTCCATCATCTACCTATCTATATTTATCATCTCTCCATCCACCCATCATCCTTCTATCTCATTCCATCATCTCTGTTCATCTTCCACCATATATCCATATATCCTCTATCTGTCAATCATCTGTCCTCCATCTGTCCATCATCTACCTGTCCACTTTTATCATCTCTCACCCAGCTATCTCCACCCAGCCTCTTTCTATATTCATCCATCTCATTCTCTATCATTCACCAAGCCTTCGAGCTGCTGGTGCAAGGCTGCCTTGTGTTGAGTCCAGGTGACCAGCCCAACAGCTGCCTTCCCAGGTCCTCTCCCCACCCCGCTGGGGGTCCCGCAGAGCTGGCGTGCGCATGCCATGCTGGGTGCTGGAGATGCAGACCAGGCATGGGGGCTTGAGTAATCACCTGAGGAGAGCAAAGTGGGATGTGGTCTGCACCTGTCCAGCGCCAAGCCAGGCTCTAGGTTTCAGGACCTGGGGGGTTCCTGGACCTTTGGGGTGCTTTCTCTGCTCTTGGATTAGGACAGTGGCTGAGTATCTTCCAGGAGGCCACTTGAGCAGCAGAGACTCAGGGTAGCAGACAGGCTCTGCAGGGCCCCAAGGGCCTGTGGTGACCCTAAGGCCACCGTGCTTTCCTAAGCTGAGCGATTGATTCTCTCTCCAGAGAATTCTCTTCTGGGGTGATGTGTGTGGGGATCCAGTGGGATCTCAGAGCAGGAGTCAAAGTTTAAAAGAACTACCCCAAAAAGTGAAAAATAAAAAACAAAAATTGCTGCCCAAGTGTGTTTCTGTCCCCACCATGCCCCCCCAGGAGGTGCTGGCCAGCCAATCTGGAGACCCTGGAATTCTAGAGACTGATGCATGAGGCAGACTGGACACTGCACTGTCCACTTACTGAACTGTATGGACTCAGTGATCTGTGATGCCACACCTATAGCTCCAGAGGCAGAGGAACTGCTGTGTCCTCCAGGCCTGTTCCCATCGGTGTTGTGGCCCTGGAGTGGACAGCATGGCCCAGATGGTGGGGGCCAAGTGAAGCTCAGCCCAGGCACCACTTTGGTGGCATCTGGGAGCTCAAAGTCTTCGGTGGAGCAGGTATTGGGGACCAGAGACTGTGTGAGGCCAGGGTTTGCTCTGCGGGGTGGCCCAGTCCTGCTGCAGGGCACCAACTCAGATCACCCTGCTCACTGCCCCACCAGGGAGCTGGACGGTGGCCCTGTCTGTTCAGTGGGAGTGTAGTGAGAGCTGTGTCCACCTGGATGTGAGTCCACAAGCCCGGGACTCCCAACCAGCTATTGCCATGGGCTTTTATCTCGCAATTTACAACCGTTCAGATTTAATCTGTCCAGTGATCCCCAGGAGCGCCAGGGCCCCACAGAGTGCTGAAGATTTGACTTGGGATGCAGGGGATGAAAGTCTGCCACCTGCAGGATGGCAGCACCCACCACAGGGAAGCAGACCCAGGTGGTGGCTGCCTGCTTGGCATGATCTTGGAGGAGGTGGCAGGCAGCAATCTGCCCACCTACAGGCCGTACCCTGGACCACCGCCACCTCCTTGCCATGATCTCTGGGACCTTGTGAGTCCCAGGACATGAGCAGTGTGGCTCTAGGGCCGTTTTGTGATCAGGGACAGATCTGAAGTCACAGGAGAGATCCAGCTTCACGGGGCCACAGCGCCAAGAGGGGACTTCCTGCTATCCACTTGGGACAGCCACAGGCCAGCGTGTAAGGACACAGCTGCTCCTTACAGCCTGAGAGGCAGAGCCTGGTGCCCTGGACACCCCGGGCCCTGTGCCTTCTCTCTTCTGTGCATTAGGCCTCATTCCTAAAATCTCTACTGGATCTTTTCTCTGTGAATAGGACAGTGTGTGGTGAGTGGTGACAGCAGCTACATCACCCGGAATGGTTTCCCAGGAACTAAGCACTTAAGGAACTAAGTTCCTTAGTGGCCTCCCCAGGCGGTTGGCATCTGGGAGCTTCGGCCCTGGGCACCATCCCAACAAGTGCTGAGCTTCACTCCCAAGACCTGCCCACTGACTGGTGAAAATCAGGGCGAGGGACAGACAGTGACGTCCAGGGCAAGGCCCAGCTGTGTCTGAGGCCAACTCCAGAGCCAGTAGCATCACCCCAGCTAGAGAGGCTCCTGGTGACCTCCGTACAGACGCAGCCACCACGGTCAAGGAGCTTTGTCCTTAAATATCAGCCTCAAGCCCTCTTCCTCCCCCTCCCTCTCTAGGTCTCCCTCCCCATGCTGGCCTCTCTGGTATGAGCATGTGAGCACACACAGCATACATAGGCACCCATAGCACCACAGCACACACACATGCACACATAGTGAACGTGCAGTGCATACAGAACACATGCCTGCACACACGTGCACTCTCACAGCACTAAGGACACCTGGGCTTTGGAAAGCCGCCCTCCTGCCTTTCTTCCAAGAGCCCCACCTGGGAGCTCTTGCAGGGCATGCGGGCTGCTGTTCATGTCCAACCCTGAAGTCCCTGGGACAGGGAGCTGTGCTGGGTTTCTGTTGAGATTTCCTGGGACACGCAGAGATAGTGGCAAATGAGAAGCATCTGCGGGAGCTTTCCTTAGAGCAGGAGGGGTGTGCAGGGCAGCGATTGAGGGACTATCTGACAGCTGGTAAGCAGGTGGACACCTCTCACTGGGTCTTGTGTGAGCTGAGGAGTAGCTTGGCCATGTAGGGTAGGCTAGCAAGGGCCATGCTTCATGGCATGGGCCCATGGCTTTCTGAGTCTCTGGCTTCTTGGAGGGCAGTGCTCAGAGTGACTGGATGTGTGGCCAACACTTGCACCTCCTTCCTGGGACACCAGTTTCCTCAGCAGGCAATGGGGCACTGGGATGACAACACAGGAGAGGCTCTGAGACTGCTGAACTGCACGTCACCAGCCACATGCACCACTCGCTTTGGGAGCCACATCAGCCAGGGCAGACCTGCTTTCTTGTGAATCTTGGTACCACTATCTGCCATGAAGCCAAAGGGCCCTCCACACAGCAGTGGCCCCAGAAAGACCAGCCCCTCCTTTAGACTCTGGGTTTGGATCTGCTCTTGCATTTGACCAAAGGCTTCTTTGAGTTCCCAGAGTTGAGTATTTGGTATACAAAGTTTTAACCCTAAACAGTTTCAGACTGGACATCCGTGGTCGACTGGCTGCCAGAGAAACTTCCGTGGTACACTTTGGAACAGCATGGTTTCCTAGTAGTAAGGTTTCCTGACAACACAGCTTCTCAATAATGTGGCTTCTAATTAGGCTTCCCGACAACATGGCTTCCCGACAACATGGCTTCCCAACAATTTGGCTTCCCAACAACAGGGCCGTATATGTGAGTTCTCTGGGGGCTGAGGATTTAGCTCAGTGCACAAGCGCCTGCCTGGCAAGTGTGAGGTCATGAGTTCAATCCCTGGTATCAAAAAAAGAAGGAAAACAGCTTCTCCTTAAGATTAGGACCATAAAAAGCAACCCAAGCCACTTGCAAAAGTCCCCTTGAAGACATGTTCCTGCCCTGCCCCCTCCTCCAGGCCAGCATACAGGACAAGCTGCCACCGAGTTTTACTAAAGTGAATTCACAGTGTAGCTTAGACCTTGCACAGCTGAGAGGAAATTCTGCAATAAAGAGGGTTCTGTGTGGAGCTGAGTCAGGTGAATCACAGCGGCAATGGCACGCATGACCAGCACCGCCTGAGGAAGATCCCTCAACCAAGGGAGGAGCCTGCTAACTGCCAGGCCATCTACCCATTATTCAGGAAGGCAACAGCCTGGTGACTACACACATGGCATCCTGTTCCGGGTCACCAGGAGCACTGTTGAATGACCAACCCCAGATGCCAACCTTCTGAGAGGCTTTGTGTGGCCCTGGGAGCCTTAGATGGTTCTACATGCCCGGGGTGGTCTTGGGTGGCCTTGTATGGCCGGGGGCCCTTTGTGGTCACACATGGCCCTAGATAACCCAGAGAAGCCTTAGGTGTTTATGGATGGCCTGGGTGGTCACAAATGACCCCAAGAGACCCTACAGGCCTTGCCTGGCCTGGGTGGCTCTAGGTGGCTGTGAATGGCTTCAGTTGACTCTGCTTCTCCTGGTATCTGGGGCAATGTATGACAATGGATGACCTCAGTGGGCCCTGGGAAGCCCTATTGGCCATGAAGGACACAGATGACTGTGAATGGCCCTGTGACTCTTGGTGGCCCTATGTCCCCTGGGTAGCCACGGCCAGTTTGGTCCCTAGGTGAGCCTGAGTTGCTGTGAATGGCCACAGAGCTCCTATTGTCCCTCTGTACTGTCTGTGGCTGTGGTAACACTGAGTCAGCGTTGATGGTTCTGCTGGTGTGGGTGTCCTTCAGTGGCCCTGGCTGATGTGATGGCCATGGGTGGCTGTGCATGACTCCAGTGGTTTATCTGGGCCCATTAGTCCTAGGTGGCCCCTGGTTGGGTGGCTCTGGGTGAGCCTCAGTGGCTGTGGTGGCCACGGGTGTCCCTTGCTCTCTGTGTGGTCCTCCCTGGCTCTGCATGGCTATGGGTGGCCTTGGTGTGCCTGGGTGGCCCTGAATGGTCTTCAGTGGCCCCAAGTGATCCCGTGTCCCTGGCTGGCCACAGGGGTCCCTGGAGGTACAAAAGCAGTCTTGGCCCTGGTGACACCCTGATGTCTTTGTGGGGAGAGATGCTCCGGAAGGTGAGCGGCCCCTTCTCTGAGGTCCCATGTGGAGTGGGGCGCAGCCCTCCACAAGCTGTGTGTCTTGGGGAGTTGCCTGACACCCAGGATGCCAGGGTGCTGCTGCTGGGTGGAGATGTCCACCATGAGTGGGCAGACAGTGGCCGATGGTGACTGTGCTGAGTGGCTCTGTGCTGTCCCTGCCAGGGGTGGGCTTCACAGTCATCCTCATCTCGCTCTACGTGGGCTTCTTCTACAACGTCATCATCGCCTGGGCACTGCACTACTTCTTCTCCTCCTTCTCCGTGGAGCTGCCCTGGACCCACTGCAACAACACCTGGAACAGCCCCAACTGCTCCGACGCCCCCTCGGGCAACGCCAGCACTGGCCCCGGCCTCAACAGCACCTTCGGGACCACGCCTGCAGCCGAGTACTTTGAGTATGTGGGGGTCGGTGTGGGATGGGGGGCAGTGCTGAGGGCGCAGTTACCCTGCACAGACTTGAGAGGGGACCTCTGATGCCCCGGGTAGTCATGTGGCTCAGTAGAGCCCAGCAGGGTCAGCTCTGGGCAGGGGTGGACACAGGCAGCCCCTCACAGTTCTGTCCTATTCCTGCTGCAGGGTGGGCGGGGAGGCTGGAGACACCATGGCACCAGTCCCCCTCTTGCACTTCTCAGGCGTCAGGCCCCCTCTCAGGTGTGGGCTCTGAGCTCCTGTGGGAAAGCCACCTTTCTGAGCACCATGATCGAAGCCCGCTTCTCAGACAGGCTGGCTACCTGCGCAGGTGTGCACTGCTCCTGAGGTCTTTGCCGTCACGGATGGGTTTCCTTTCCTCCACTGTTGCTCTCCTGTCCCTGACCCACGCGCCCCCATGGCCTGAGGTTCCCCCTTGCAGGCTAGGCCTCCCCAGAAGCTTTTCTCTGGGTCTGCTGTCTAGTCAGCTTCTGTGTCCCGCCACTGTCACCAGGGCCGATCCGGGAGGACTCTTGGGCCCGCCATCCCCTGCCATGTGTTGGAAGAATCGTGGCTTCCAGCAAGCGTCGCGGAAATGGGGTCGTGAGTGTGTGAGTGGCAGGGCCCCTGCCAGCCACTGCAGGACAGGAGCAAGCAAGCTGGGCTGGGTTTTGGCTCTCCCTGACTGGCCCCTCCCATCCGCAGTGTTGGCGTTGGCAGAGGACGGGCCGCAGCACCTGCAGCAGGTCTGTGATTTCATGTGGCCAGTGCTGCTCTGCTGGCTATGCATTCCCACTCGTATGTCTGTGTGGGGGTCCACTGCCTGTGTAGCAGGAGGGACTTTGTCCTTCAACATGGACAGCAAAGGGGGCGACTGCCCACTGACTGCTGGGGAAGGTGCAGAAGAGCAGGGCGCAAGCTGGGATGCTGGGCAGATAAAGGCACAGGTACCCTGAGTGAAGGACGGCTCTGAATCCTCCGTGGCCTTGGCACGGTCTCGGGAGACTGTCCTTGCTCCATTTCCCAGATGCAAAACTCTGGCGGAGGGAACGAGGCTTGGCCACAGTGCCCCAGCCAAGTGACCCAAGCCTGGGGCAGCATGTGGCCAGCAGAGGAGGCACCGCAAACGCCGCGGTGGAGCCTGTGGGCCGCTTGGCACTAGAATCGTCTGTGTGTGAGTGGGTCTGACAGGCAAAAGCGGATGAGGATTTCCAGCTCAAGTGTCTAATTTCCCATGGGGTTTGTGCAATTTGAAACATCGGGAGTGATGTGTGGGGGGCATCTGTCTCCTCTTTGGTAGTAGAGACCTTCAAGTCATCCAAGAGACTTTCAGACAAGAGGACAAGAGGACGAGAGGGAGAGGGGTTAGTGCTGTGCTCTGCAATGCAGGGGGTGCTGGAGGAGAGGATGAAGTTATTTTCTCAGTGTGAGAAGTCCCTCAGCCCTTGTTCCAGGAGGCCCTTGGTGACACCACAAGTCCTCACCCTGCACACACACGGGGCTCCCCAAGGCAGCCTGGCATGCTCAGGTCCCTGGGGTCCGGAGCCCACACACACCTTGTCATGCAGGTCGTGGTGGAAGGGGTGGTAGCTTCCCAGGCACACCCCTAGGAAGGCGTAAAGCTTGCACCTTTAGGGTCCTGTAAGGTCGTGAGTTCAATCCCCAGTATCGAAAAAATAAATAAAATTAAATAAATTAAAAAAATAAAAACAATATGCTTCTTGCCAGGCTTGGTGATGCTGCCTGTCAAGCCAGTCCTCGGAGGCTGAGGCAAGACAATCACTTGAGGTCAGCAATCAGAGGCCAGCCTTGGAAATGGTGCAATTCCGTTTTTGTTTTTTTTTTTTGTTTTGTTTTTTTAAGTCATGCACTGTTCCACTGCTGTCGGGCAGAGCACTGCAGTGTCCCCAGGTTGTGCTCCTGGTGGGGAGGTTTTCTCACCCTTAGGGACAGTCCCTGTACTGCCGTCTTCACTACTGAGAGAGAGGTCGCGGGTGTGTCTGTGTCCTTCGGGAGTGACGCTTCCACAGGAGGAGCGTGTGTGTGGCCCCTCTCAGGAGTCTGCTTGGCTCACTCCTGCTCCCCAAGTTCGCTCTGTCTGATGGCGGCGTCCTGCAGGACTGGGAGGGGCAGTGACTCTCGTGGCTTTCGTTTCTAACCCGTGTGTGTTGTTAACGTGGGCACAGCCCTCGCTACTGCATCTGAGGGGTGACCTCTGTCTCGTGACTGGGATTGTGGTATGGCAGTGGCCGTGTGGCTGGGCTCCGTCTCCCCTCTTACTGCTCCCCTGCTTGACACCCCCCTCCCTTGCTCCTCCATCGATCCCTTCTCCTGGTCTCGCGCTGAGGTTGTGCCTTTTCCTTGCTGGGTAGAGCCCTGTGATGCCCAGATGTTTTAGACTTGATGAAGCCAGATTTACCTAATTATTCCTTCATGCCACGTCTAAGAGTCCACTACAAGGGCGAGCTGGTGCAGTCAGCCCACAGCTTCTTCCAAGAGCGCTTCGGCGCTGCCTTCCAGCTCTCCCGGCCATTGCAAGCTAACCTGTGTGTGTGGCCACTTCCAGTTTCCTCCTGGACTCAGGCCACGTTTTCCTGCTCTGGTCGTGCTCTCTAATTTGTATGAGGCTTGGCGAGTTTCACATGGACAGTGTGCAGCTTGGGTGCTCCCTGTCTGGATGTGAGATTTCACAGGTGGGAAGGCAATGCGATCGGGTGCCATCTGGCCTTCTGGCTCTCAGCTGCCTTTCCCACCTGGCTGGGGCCAACCTCAGCGGCACAGGTGGCCCTGCTCACTGTGACCAGGTCACACCAGCTGTGCAGTGGCCTCATACCCTGCTGAGCTCTGGGAGCTCCCAGTCTCCCGGGGCTGTGTCCTGTGCCCAGTGCAACCTCGTGGCCAGTGTGCAGGTTATAGGGACTCTCTCCAGCTGCCCACCTCCCAGGGCTCTGTCTTGGCTGCAATGCGAGAGCCAGAATAGCCAGGTTTCTTCACGAGGCCTGGGTGGGCAGAGATGCAACCTGGGGCTCGGCATTATTTCGGAGAAGAAGTGCAGACCCACAGTCAAAGCATGTGTGGGCTGCAGCATCTTCTTCGTAACATGGCCCCTCCTCCCCCAAGCAGAGCCCAGTGGAAAGGACGGTGCCTTTCCCATGGCTGCCCACAGGCCATCTGTGGAGTCCAATGAGTTACTGAGGCAGCACCCAGGCCAATCTACCTGTCCTCTTGAGAAGGACATGCAGGGTGACTCCTGATCACGCCTGGCCAGCACTGTCCCAGATCTGGTCTTCATGCAGCAGGAGTCAGGTGTCACCCTCAGAAAGCACAGGGCCGCATGTGGCATCACTGCTCGGTGCCCAGGCCACCCCTGGGCACCAGGCTTGTGCTGGGCTCCTCACAGGCCGGAGTTCCTGTCCTTCTGAGGGTAGGGGTGGAGCACTGCCTCAACTCAGCTGGGCTCAAGGGCAAGAGGCAGGAGGGGAAGGATGGCACAGATGGGCAGGGGTGGAGCCTCCCCAGGGGGGAGGGCAAGGACAGGGCCTCTCCGGGGCTCACTGGCAGGAGTGGGAAGGGAAGGCAGGTCCTGCAGCTGACCCAGCCTTGCCCCCAGACGCGGCGTGCTGCACCTGCACCTGAGCCACGGCATTGACGACTTGGGCCCGCCGCGCTGGCAGCTCACGGCCTGCCTAGTGCTGGTCATCGTGCTGCTCTACTTCAGCTTGTGGAAGGGTGTGAAGACCTCAGGCAAGGTGAGGCGGAGTGGACACTCGAGGTGCCTGGGAGCATCTGGGCAGAGGGTGCCCACGGCGAGGTGCGTGCAGAGGAGGACAGAGCAGCAGGGTCTTCTGTCTTCCTGGCAGAGTATTGGGCCTCAACCAGGCTGCTTTGAGCAAAGTGATCCCGGGATAGCTGTGCTGGGCACAGAGCCCCAGACTGGTGGGCCACCTTTGTCTCCGCACACACTCAGTCCCCTTTGCCCGCCAGGATCCGGTCCCCCACCACGACCACTGTCTGCCTTGCTTTGTGCTCAGCCCCACCCCCAGGGAACCGGCAGCCCCAGGGCCTCAGGCTGCCGCTCCTGCTCCTGCCTGGCTACCTACCGCTGCTGCCCCAGCAGAGGGCGCTTCTCCTCACCCTGCTACAAGGTGGCTCTATGGTGCCCATCAGGCCCTGGCAGGACTGAACGAGTGGCCCGTGACGTGGTCCTCTCCCACAGGTGGTGTGGATCACGGCCACCATGCCCTACGTGGTCCTCACCGCCCTGCTCCTGCGTGGTCTCACCCTCCCGGGAGCCATCGACGGCATCCGGGCCTACCTGAGTGTGGACTTCTACCGGCTCTGCGAGGCGTCGGTGAGCGTGCCCTCCGTGAGCTCCACAGACACATAGTCTGCCTCAGCCTCCTGAGGGTGACAGCAGTGCCCACCACTCTGCATGTCTGAGACTTAAATGCCACATAGTGCAGTGACAGCGACGTGTGTCCGAGCTGTGAGCTGACAAGTGGGGCGCAGCGTCCATCTCAGGCAGCCTGAGCTGTCTCCTACACCTCCGGGTGTGAGGGGTCCTGGGCGGGAGGGAGGCTGAGTGGGGTCAGGGCTCCCACCGAGCAGGAGCCAGGGCTGTGGGTAGGTTATACAGGTACCTGCGTGCGTGAGCCCTGACACCCCGGAAATCCAGACAACCTCTCTGATTTTGCTACCGAGCCGAGTGGGCCGTGCTGTTGCTACTGTTTCCAAACCCCAGGGTGGGGAGGGGTGCAGGTCAGCTCCACGGGGTCCCACTGGCCAGAGCCTGGCAGGCCCCTCTAACCTGGGACCCCTCCCTTGGCTCATAGGTGTGGATTGATGCTGCCACCCAGGTGTGCTTCTCTCTGGGTGTTGGGTTTGGGGTGCTGATTGCTTTCTCCAGCTACAACCAGTTCACCAACAACTGCTATCGGTGAGCCCGGGCCCCGGTAGTGATGGCCAGGCTGCCCCAAGGTGGGACCCAGCTCAGAACCAGAGGGAGGGAGAGAAACTGCTGGCAAAACGTTGATCCACGAGGCCAGGCAGCTTGCAGCAGAACCCCCTTGCCTTAAAGAAGCCTGGCTGCGTGGGGACTGTGCTGGGGTCTGTGGGGGCAGCCTCTGCCCTCCGCCCTGGCCACCCCAAGAGCTCGGCTCTCCCAGGGCCCCGCTTCACTCCCTCCCACCTGAGTGTGAGCACCACCAGGGTCTGGAGGACCTGCTTTGCCCATAGCCTCAAGCTGGCCCAAATCCTCCTAAAAACAGGAGTAGAATTAAATCTGAGGCCTGCTTTCTTTGACCTTTATGGGCTTGTGTTTACTCTCACATCCTGGGGATAAAAATGCACTAAAAATAAAGACAGCACGCAGCAAAATGGCCAGGCAGCTCCTCCAGGTTCCCAGGAGAAGGACAGCAGGTCCAGGTCCCAGATCACCCTGCTCGAGCCCAGTCTGTGTCCACGTGGGTCTGCCACTCTCTGGATGGCGTGTGCAGCCCCTCAGCAGCAGATGGCCATCCGGGGAGCTGGGAGGGCAGTGACATCCAGAAGGACCTGCACTCCAGGGCCTCCCTTGCTGCTGGCCCTCAGGTTTCTTGGCCTGACTAGGGTCCTTGCAGCCCAGGTGAGCATGGGACTTTATTTCAGCTCTTGGAGCCCGCTGTGGGGAGTCTGTATTTCCCAGGATCCCCATCATACACATTTGTGCTGAGAGCCCTACCCGTATGCTCAGGCTCCATCCCACCCTGAGCCCACATGGCCCCAGGCAGTTGCAGAGTGGCAGCCACCTGTGCATGTCCAGGAAGTCGGGCCCCGGACTTCCTCCCAGGCCAAGACGTGGGGACCTAAGAGCAAGGCTGGGGGGAGGCCACGGGGGTCTTGCCCACAGCACCAGGACATCGGTCTTGTCTTGCAGGGATGCAATCCTCACCACCTCCATCAACTCCCTGACCAGCTTCTCCTCGGGCTTTGTGGTCTTCTCCTTCCTGGGGTACATGGCCCAGAAACACAGCGTGCCCATCGGGGACGTGGCCAAGGACGGTGAGCCCTGTGCACCCCCACACCACACCCTGACCTGCAACCCTCGGTGCTCAGGTGGCAATGGCCAAGGTGAAGGCCAAAGTGAAGACTGGGGGCTAAGCTGGCAACAAGCGTCTGCTTGGGGCTGGGCTCAGTGCCCATGCCACATCAGGAGCTCTTGTCCCACAGGCATCTCTGCTGTCTGATCTCTTCTGGGGCCTCGGGTGTGGGAAGGGAATGTGGGGAGCTGTGGGCCCTGTCACCCATGTGCTGAGGACTGAGGGGTCAGCCTTGATCCCCCACAGCTGCTAGAGAGCTGAGCATGGAGGCCCCCTCTGCAAAAAGGACATGGGCGGGGTCTACAGCCAAAAGCCAGGCTGGGGCGACCCTCTGGGTGTCCCTGAGACTGGGGTCTGCCCTCCAGACAGACCTGATAAAGCTGAAAAAGGAGACAGAATGCAAATCAGTCCAGAGGTGAACTTTACTTGGGGCTGCTCCACGCCTGGCTCCCTGCCCTTTATTATGATAAATAGCAGTCGCCCTGAAAACCCATCGCCCTGCAAGTGGGGCAGCATCCTCCACGCATTTCCTAACAGGCAAAGTAAATGTCACTGGCGGCCCTGGCATGCAGACTGCGGGTGAAATGTCGCTGGGGTGCAGGGAGGAAGAGCTGGCGCTGTCTTTATCTCCACCGAGTGGGGAAGGAGCTTCCCAGGATTGCAGCTTGTGGCATTTAAGCTTCAGTCTCCAAGGAGCCTGTGGCCCAGCCCAGGTGGACCACTGGGCAGTTGGGAATTCCAGGGCACCTGGGTCCAACCCCATTGCCTGGCTGGCCTTAGGATCTCATAAAACCATGGCCACCTTGTGGTCTTTGGTTTTTTCAAAAGATGCCAAGTGCAGGGTGTATGCCAGCCACCCCAGCACTGAGCAAAGCAGAAGCAGGAGGATTGCAGTTTCAAGTCCTGCCTGGGTAACCTAGTGAGACTTCATCTCAAAATAAAATTTCCTTGAAAGGGCTGAGGGTGGAGGCTGGCTCAGTGGTAGAGCTAACCTGGGCTCGGTCCCGAGGCCCAGGAGACAGTGATTGCTAAATGTCAGTCCCCATGGCTAGGAGCCAGACTCAGGCCCGTAGAAGAGGACTCTGCAAAGGTGACTGGCCCAGGTACATGGCTGTGAGCCATGAAAAGTGTCACCACACAGGTGGGATCCCTGGTGGGATCATTTGAGAGCACATTGAGCCTTGTGGAGTCCTACCCCTCCCACGGTCCCCACCTTCTGGTGCCGAGGAAGAGGATCATCCCTATGGGCCACACCCTGTGTGTGTCTCCTTGCAGGGCCACTGCCTCCCATCAGAATGGGTGCCTGACTGGGTCCGGTCTCCTGCAGGCTGGGCCCCCGGGGCTGTGTGGTGGCCAGGTCCCGGTGGCATAGGGCACCACTCTCTTCTGTGTCCCTTGCCTCTGCATCTATGGGAGCCACAGAATGCCCTGCTGTCCTGAGCCCCAGACCTCTGTGTGGCTTCCAGGGTCCCTGCTGTCAGGGCAGTGGGAACAGGAGCCACACTCACAGCTGTCCCATGTCTACCTAGAGGTCACAGCTGTATCCACCTGAGCACAGAAGGGGAGGGGCTGGGTTCCTTAGTGCCCAGGGATGGAGGTCAGGACCATGCTCCAGCAGCTGAGTGTGTGTGTGCACGTGTGCCTTGTACTAGGATGCAGGTGTACATGTGTGAGTGTGCCAGTGCATGCTTGCTTGTGTGTATGTGTATGTCTGTGCTTGCTTGTGTGTTTGTGCAAGTGTGTGTGCATGCTTGCACATCTGTGCAATGTGTGCTTGCACATGTGTGTGTGAGTGCACACTCACAAGAGCTGCCCAGGAGCACCTACAGGAATGAGGCTGATGTTTTATCTAGCACTGGGGCCACTCCAGAAACCCCTCAGTCCTCTCATTGCCTGTCCCTGCCTTGGCCTTCACCCCTCCGGTGCCCCATGGCCTGGTGTGGGCACAAGTGAGCGTGGCAAGGCCGCCAGGCTGGGGATGGTTGGGTGGGGGTTCTCTGTGTGCCCAGAACTGCTGTGGTCTGGCCGAGTGCCCCAGGCTGAGCCGGCCTCACACTGGGGTTGGGGAGTAGGAACCCCTGCCACACAGCGGGTTCTGACCGCAGGCCCTGGGCTGATCTTCATCATCTACCCGGAGGCAATCGCCACACTCCCGCTGTCGTCGGCCTGGGCGGTGGTGTTCTTCATCATGCTGCTCACCCTGGGGCTCGACAGTGCTGTGAGTGTGGGGCCCAGGGGCCCGGGGATGGGGGGCTGGCGGCAGAGCTGAGCTTTCCCTCTCTCTGCACCAGGGTGTTGGTGTTGGTGTGCAGACTCCCTGCAAAACCCTCAGGACAGCGTCTGACTACAGTACTGGCCTGGCCAGGCTGTCTTGGTGCCATTGTGGTACCCAGTCCGAGGTCCTCCTCATCAGTGCCCCAACCCCACTGAGCCCTGGGCGCCAGGACCAGCCAGGGCCATGTAGCTGCCTGTGTCTTTGTCCAGCTGCTGGGGCTCAGCACACTTCTAGAGTGTGACCCAAGGCCTCACATTGAGGGGATGGTTCCACTGCAACCCCACCTCTCAGGATCACAGCCTGCTGGGTGGACAGGGCCTCCCTTGTCCCCACATCTCTGCACCAGGAGGATAGCCCCCTCCCTGTGCTCAGGGGGTACACAGGTCCCCAATCCCATGTCAGGCTGCCCGGGGCTTCCCATCACGACTCGTGCAGGCCTGCTCTGCCGCCTTGCTCCAGACAACAGGGTGGAGCTCCGCCCCTTGGTCCTGCATGAGGGGACAGTACTATGTCACCCAGGTGGCCTGCCTTGCCCTGCCCTGTGACCTCTCTCTGAGGGCCCTGTCACCAGAGAGGCCCCTGCCAAGGCCGTGTCCCCTGCTGTGCCAGGCTGACCTCAGGGTGACAGGTGGGTGTGAGTGCCGTGCCTGTGCCCACAGATGGGCGGCATGGAGTCGGTGATCACGGGGCTCATCGATGAGTTCCAGCTGCTGCACCGGCACCGGGAGCTCTTCACACTGTGCATCGTGCTGGGCACCTTCCTGCTGTCACTCTTCTGCGTCACCAACGTAGGCACTGCCCTGCTCGCGTCTGGGCCCCATGGGATGGGCAGCTGTGCAGCAGAAGCTGGGGGTGCTGAGTGTGGGAGACCCAGCATGTGGCCAGCTAGGAGTCCCTGGGGAAGCTCCCACAGTGGCAAGAGGGGCAGGCAGCCTGCAGTTGGGGACCTGCAGGAGTGTCCCCCACTGGAGTGCTGGGAGACACTGCTTGGGGCTGAGGAGGTAGCTGCTCCCAGCACCCCCGGAGCTGTGGGAGGTGAGAAGCGAGGCTTGATGATGCCCTCTGAGGTGCAATGGGCAGGTCTGATGGGGGGATTCTCGGGGCTCAGCGCCCCACAGAGCATGTCTGCGAGCCGGGCCAGTCCAAGAGAAGCACCTCAGAGCAGGGTCTGCAGCCTGGCTGGCCAGGCTCCGTCATGCCCCTCTCTTCCAGGGGGGCATCTACGTCTTCACGCTGCTGGACCACTTTGCAGCTGGCACGTCCATCCTCTTTGGGGTGCTCATTGAGGCCATTGGGGTGGCCTGGTTCTATGGTGAGTACGGTGAGGATTTGGCACTGGGCAGGTTGAGGATGCCGCCCCAGGAGGCGATGCCCTAGTGCAGACAGGACCCAAGTCCGGCTGCTTACTCACGAGCAGGACTTCAGGCACTGCCCTGCCCACCGCCCCAGCCATGGCCACTGTGCCCAGGACGTCCACACATACATCGGATGAAGCACCAGGAACCCAGGCTGGTGCTGGCTGGGTCTCTCAACGCGCTCCGGGTTTTCTGTCTGTAACATGGGAAGGGTGCCAGCCTTGCCCACCCTACAGTACCTCTGAGGGGCTGGTGGCTGCCTGGGAGACCAGCCACACATGCCAGGGTGACCATGCCTTCTCCCTGACCTCAGCACCAGATCACATAGTAGGCCAGCAGTGCGAGGGAGCCTGCTCACATTTCTCACCAGTTCTTACAAGTTAGATAACAGAACTGAAAGAAAAACCCACCTCCCCAAGTGGGCCCAGGGCTGCTGTTGGAGAAAAAATGTCGTTTATTACATTCCAGAAGTCACTTCGCCTAAGTGTGGGTGACTATACAAGCTGCAGAACATTATGCAGCCTTCAAAAGGGTTGGCAGGGTACTGTGATCTGAATGAACTCAGGGACGCTTGCTGAGCACCAGTCCCCAGAGGCAGATACCACATGCCCCTCAACGTGGGTCAGGCAGAAGACAGTGAAGACATGGGGCTGCAGATAGGCGGGCAGTGGGAATAGGCAGAGCTTACCACAGACAAACTGAGACCAGGGCGTGGAAGGTGCGACAGCTACACAGCCACGGGGGCACTTAACACTGCACTGTGCACCTAAGGGTTACAGAGGTGAATTCACTGTCGTGCTGCGAGTTAAAGATGGTCCTGCTAGAGCTCAGGCTGGTGGTCTTGGACTCACAGCAATGCTCCTGCCCAGCTTCCTGAGTGCTGAGGTTACACGTGTGTGCCATGCTTCTCCCACAATTTTTAAAAAGTATAGAAATGCCAGATGCAGAGGGAGGGAGGCGGTGGAGAGTGGCCATGGGACCGGAAGAGGAAAGGGGCAGGGCGGGGCCTGCCAGGCAGCTGTCCTGGGTGCAGGCCAAGCCAGAGGGACGTCAGGCTGAGCCCACACATGGGGTCCAACAGCCAGCAAGGCCACGAGTGGATGGGTGCGGCCCCTCTGGGGAGCCTGGGTGCAGCTGGGGGTCCGTGGGGTGGGGGTCTGTGATCACGTGGTCCTGATGCCCCACGGCCCCGCCTCCTCCAGGTGTCCGGCAGTTCAGCGAGGACATCAAACAAATGACGGGCCGGCGGCCCAGCCTCTACTGGCGGCTGTGCTGGAAGCTGGTCAGCCCCTGCTTCCTTCTGGTAAGACATGTGCAGCTGGTCCTCAGCAGCCCCACCTGCCGCTTGCATCTGCTTCAGAGGGCCCCAGGTCCCAAAGAGCAGGCAGGCGCAGCATGGTGTCCCTGGTCTGCTGGCGGCTTCCTTCTCCCAGGGACCTCAGAAGTGATGCACGCATGATCCGGGCACCTGGGCCAAGCTAGCCATGCTCCTGCCTCTGGCAGGAGGAGGATGGGACTCAGGCCGACGATACCAGAACCCAGGATAGGAATGAGGCAGGCTCCGTCCCCCAAGTCCCTGGGCCCTCCTCAGTGTGACCTGCCATTACCTCAATTTACACTCTCGGCCAGGGGAAGCTGGCAAAGTCTGCACCTGCCAGGCTGCTGGGACAGGTGGCTGAGACCGCTGGCTGGGATTGCACTGCTTTGGCCCTGCCGATGCCAGGAGCTGCTGGGGGCAGGGCCAGGCCCATCAGAGGGCCACTGGAGCTGCCTCAGGGCCAGCAGGGCCTGCAGTGAATTTTCCTGGTCCTCTACCCGTGAGCTGGTTCCCCAGCCACTGAGCTCTCGGGGTGCTAGGCAGAGGGAAGAGATAGCAGACAGCCCAGACCAGGCACAGCGGGAAGTGGCAGCAGCTGGGTTCCAGCTTGCGAGTATGGCCAGGTGAGATGAGTGTCCCAGGCCAGCCCCGTGCCAGCCCTGTGCTCACCAGTGTCCTGTGTAGGACTTGGCCTGTGCGAGATTCCAGAGACTTCCGAGGAGGTGCTGGCAGCAAGACACGCAGTGTGCACAGAGGCACAGGATGTGTGTAGACAGACAGTGCCCGGGGTGTACGTGTAGATGTGCAGTCCACTTGCACACACATTGTATGTGTGAACATGTAGTACCCGAGAGACATGTGTACCCGTGTAGCCGCGTAGTACCTGAGTAGACGTGTAATACCCGTGTAGGCGCACGGTGCTCTGTAGACGTGTAGTGCCCTGTAGGTGCACACTGTGTGTGTAGCAGGCAGTGTGTGTCCAGGTGCGTGGGTACGAACTCACATTTACAGAAGCAGGATGTGTGTATGCTGCTGGCTAGGGGGCCACCCAGAGCCCAGGTGACGGCCCACTCCGTAGTCTGTCACTTTCTCCAGATCACACGGAGACAGCCCTGCCTCCCACACAGGATGCAGATTGCAAGAAGTGCCCAAGCAGTGCCCTGAGCAGTGGCCAGCTCTTTTGGGCTGTGGTGCCCAGCAAAGGATGAGAGGGCAGGACAGCTGCGCCTGGGCAGACAGCATAGCTGAAAGCCCCTGCTGCCTGTCTGACCCGTCCCTCAGGGAGCCTGCTGACTGTGTCCTTGGTTTCAGTTTGTGGTTGTGGTCAGCGTTGTGACCTTCAGACCCCCCCACTACGGCTCCTACGTCTTCCCCGCCTGGGCCAACGCACTGGGCTGGGCAGTTGCCGCCTCCTCCATGGCCATGGTGCCCATCTATGCGGCCTACAAGTTCTGCAGCCTCCCAGGCTCTTTCCGAGAGGTGGGTGTACAGCCCCCACTTGGTGTCTCCCCAACTGAGGGCACCAGCTCAGGACGACATCCCTATCCCTGCCCGCTCCCGCCCAATCCTACCTGATCTGTGGCCCTTGGGGTGGGGCTGCAGTGGCATTCCCCATCCTTGTGTGTCACATGTGTCACTGGTGTCTGCACACCAAGTGTCTGTGTCTGCCTTTATCCTGAGTGTACAGGTGTACACAGGCCGAGTTAGTGTGTGTCTGCATGTGCCTCATACACCCGTGCACTTTGTCTGGGTATGTGCCTCCCTGTGTGTTAATGTGTCCTGTGCTTGTGCGCATGCTGTGTCTGTGGGCAGGCCCATGCATGTGTGGTGCCCACAGACACCAGTGGGACAGAGCCCCAGAGTCCGGGCCATCTGGATGCTGTGGTCAGGCTCCGGTAGGCTGTTCTGTGGGAGGTGGGGAGGGATGTGCCCTCAGCACCCGCTGCACTAACCCCTGGGCTCTGGGTCCTGGGCCCCAGCACCATCCTGCAAGGCGGGCATGGACCTTGGCACTGCCTGCCTGAGGTCCTGATCTCAGGCATGTGTGACCACATGTCCACTGTGCCTGGCTCTGTCTTAGAAACTGGCCCAGGCCATCACACCCGAGAAGGACCGCGAGCTTGTGAACCGAGGAGAGGTGCGCCAGTTCACGGTGAGTGCCCACCCAAGCCCTTGGCAGGGACAGGATGACAGAGGGCGGCTCTTTGCCCAGGGGCTGCTCGGGGCTGCTCGGGGCTGGGAGGTTCTGGCTGTGAGCAGCCCAGTCCCCAACACTGACCGCCGCATCCACCCTCTACGCCCTCAGCAGCGGCCTCACAGGCGACCAAGCTGTGGTTCCCCCTCCCAATTCCCGGCCAGCTCTGTCCCCTTATGGCTGGCTCCTCAGTCGGCCTCAGGTCCTTTTCAGCCTGGTTCCCTTTTAATTCATCGTGCAGGGCTGGGAATCCCCTCTGGTGCCCCATTTCTTGCCTTCCATGGGTTCTGGCAGGTTTTTTTAGTGATTGGTTTTAAATATATTTTAATTTCCGGTGTGACTTCAATTCCCGAGTGGCGTAGAAGTCTGCTTGGAGGTCTCTTGGTGCAGTAGTGGAGACTGAACCCAGCCGTTCACGCTGGGCTGCATTTCCAGCCCCTTTTCACTTCTCATTTGGAGACATCTGCATCTCACGGAGTCTCCTGGGGCTGGACTCACACTTGTTTTTTTTTTTTTTTTTTTGTCTCTTTCATTTTTCATTTTTATCGGTACCAGGATCGAACTCACGACTGCCTGCTTGCAAGGCAGGTGCTTATGTCGCTGAGCTAAATCCCCAGCCCCCTGGACTCACACTTGTGATCCTCTTGCCTCAGCCTCCCAGGGGACCCCTTGTTTCTCTGTAACGTGGTTGTGTTGTGCACGGACATCCGCCCAGCTTTGACGAGACCTCTGCGTGTCTGCTGACAGCTTGCCCCTCCCTGTGGGCTGTGTTGCCTCTGCTGCCAACTGCGTCGGCCGCTACGATCCAGGGCTCCACCCGCCCCTGATCCTGGCCCTTGGCCCCTGGTCCCTGAGGTCCCTTCAGCTCCCTGAAACACAGCCCAGACCCATCACTGCTGCTCTCAGCCCTCTTGCTGGGGTGAATGCAGCGTTAACTTTAACCTCAGGCGTTTGTTGCAATCCCAGCCCGGCGGGATGGCTACTCCCTGATGGCCTGCCCCAGTCACCGGTCACCAGTCACAGTGCACAGAAGCTGGCTCACTGCCGCTTCATCCTGTTGGCCCGGCTTAGCTGCCTGCCTCCTTCTTTCTGGCCTTTTCGGGTCATTTTTCTCATCCTATTCGTTTCTCTCCGCTTGCTCTGAATCCAGTACTTCGGTTCACTGCACGGTTTCCTGAAGTTGGCAGATATTTCACTTTGTCTGAAGCTGGGCTGAATCTCGTGGTCCCAGTGCCCCAAGGACTTTGGGCCCCCTGATCAAGAGCAGCTGCCTCATCCAGGGCGCCCCGCATGCCTGCACGCCTGGAGGCATAGCTGCTGTCCCTGGGGCTTGGCCTGGCTTCTCAGGATCCCTAGGTGGCAGGGGGCTCACAGTCCTCCTGGCAGGGGTGGCCCTCTCTGCCCACCCCATCATGTGGGGGCCCTGGACAGCAGGTGCTGCTGCTCCCTGGTGTCTTGGTCCTGACCCCCAGGCTCTACTATCAGCTCATGACTTGCTGGCCTCAGTTTCTCTTGCTGTCCGCAGCCAGGTTCTCAGCCCAGGCGGCTCTGAAGCTTCATGGTCACATGGCCGCCTGGCCTCTTGCTGCCCTGTCCTCTCGCCTCCCTGTCCTTTCCTAGGTCTGGGCATGTTTGCCTGGGTCGCTTACTGAGTGCAGACTGGGGCTCGGGGTTTGTACCCGTGCAATGGGGCACATGTGGCCGTCTGTTGAGCCCACCCTGTGAAAACCAAACATTTCCCCCTGCCACCCTGCGCCTGCCCCTCAGGTCCTCCCTGGCCCTGCCCACCATAGCGGCCCCTCCTGTAACAGGCAGCAGGCGGGTGGAAAGCAGAGAGGCAAACAGACCCCAGACAGACGACAGTAGGTGACTGCTGCATGCCAGCGGAGACTGACAGATGACAAATGGCCAAGAGATACAAGAAAGGAGCTAGCTCAAATGAGACCTACATTCCCAGAAAGCAACGTTGGGTTTTGGTTTTGTTGTTATTGTGTCATTATGGGACTTTTGGTTTGTTTTTGCTTGTTTTTTTTTTTTCAGTACTAGAGATGGAACACAGGACCTCTGCACTGAGAACATCCCCAACCCTTTTGATAGTACTTTTTATTAAAGACAAGACTCTCACTAAGTCAAAAAGTCACCATGCTAGGCTCCAAGTAGCAGTCCTCTCGTCTCAGCCTCCCACTGGTGAGGAGGCATCCTGCTCCTCTGCCGTCTCCAGCTCAGTGTGTCTGTGCACAGTGGGGTGTAGTACATACTGCTTTTGGTGCTGCTGTTCACTGGGCTGGTGGAGTTTGTTATTTCCATCAGATCTGGGCTCCTTCAGCCGTGTCTGCCCTGTCTTCCCTCAGCCCTCTGGGGCCCAGCTGCCCACCCTCTGGTCTGCACCCCATCTGCCCACTTTCTAGGGACACACCTTCCTTGAAGTCATCATGTCCCTCCTCTGGACATCCCTGTAACCTGCCTCTGGGTCTCACCATGTGGAGCAGCTGCTTGGGCTTCCAGTCTGCAAATCTGAGCCTCAGCTCCGGCTCTGGGCTGCCTCCCTCCCAGCAGTGCGCATCCCTCACTTCTGTCCTGCAGCGGTGGCACATGGAGCCAGGTCCCAGAGCCAGAGTCTCCACCAGGTCCTCACCACAGCACATCCTGTGAGGCCCACAGGGCTGAGCACCGTGGGCAGAGGCCCTGCCCATGTCGCGCCCCTCGTGCGCTGCATAACAGGCTTCCGTTCTACTCATTTGCAGACACAGCTGTGCACTGAGTGTTACTGATGCTCAGAAACAGGCTGAACAAGCAAGGTCTGCACCCCAGCAGTGACACTTGCTGGGGCCGTGAGGCTCCTCCTGCCCCAGGTGGTGCACAGGGGCAGATGCCAGGTACCGCACTACAGCATTGTGGACCGCAGCCCTGGCAGTCAGGTCGGGCCTGAGCCCCATGGGAGGCTGCTCTCACACAGTGCTGCCCACACTCTGAGTAGTCCCTTTTATTTCCAGCTGCGCCACTGGCTCCTGGTGTAGCAAGCAGTGACCTGGCCAGCTGGGCAGGTCCTCACCAGGGAGAGGAGACAGAGGGCTGCGTCCACCCTGGGACCTCGCCTTCACGGACAAACAGCCTGGGCAGACTCGCTGTAAGAACCGCACCCATCCGTGCAGTGAGGCCAACCAGTTGCCGCCCTATGTGGATGCCCATGCCCCACAGGAGGATGCAGCAACTGTACCTACACTGTCCCTGTACCCTCAGGGGCTGCCTGGGCCACTCGTGCTGCTCAGATTTAAAAGCTAGGTCCCCTGCTGAGTCTGAGCAGCACATAGAGGGGAAGAGGCTGAGTTGACACAGTCCTTTCCTGGCACCAGGCTGTGAGTGGACAGTGATCCAAGGGTACCACTCACCTGTCACACACGTGAGTTCCATCCAGGGGCATGGAGGACCAGGCTGGTTCATGTGGTGGGATGCTGCTTCCTTGCCACTGAGAGAAGTGATTTTCTGTGGACCCAGCTCAGGCCACAGCCACTCTTGCCCACTGCACTCTGGACCTGGCCTGAGTACGTCCCCAACTGTGGCCACCTGCGTGCCTGGAGCCCACATCCTCCAGCCTGAGTGGTCTCCAGCACACATGACATCTTGGGACATATCCTTTGCTAGGAACTGGCATTTTAAATCCTATTTATCTGTGTCAAAACAAATTCTCAAAGTGCACGGTTTATTTCTGCATATCTGTTTACAGATGTTCTGGGTTTTGTTTACAAGAATAATTAGCAATACCAGTGAAGACTGAGCCCCGCCTGCCTCTGCCGCCCTCCCACAGCACACTGGCCACCCCAGGGCATGGCAGGACCTGCTCACCCGTTCTTGCCATGAGGCTGAGCAAGCTCCTGGCCACATGGGCATCGCAGAGTGGTGCGGCAGTCATGCTGTGCAGAGAGGCGGGCTGCAGCCAGGAAGTACACCTCCACCCCAGGGGCAGGGGAACGTGGACTGTAGGAAGTTGGTTGTAGTCGCCTGCCCGTGGGGAGCACCTGTGGTCCTGGCTGGGAGGACCCTGCCTGAGAGGCTCCATGTAGAAAGCAGTGTAATCAGCCTCTGTCCCTGTCCTGCTGTCAGTGTTGTGTGTGGGTCCTGTGCACAATAAACGAAGTCCATGTTGGAAGTGACCTCACCTCGAGGCTGCGCGTCTGCTTGGCACTGTTGTTCTGCGAGGCCCTGTTCCCTGCACGTCATGGCCACTTGGCTGCCCTGAGGAGGTCTGTCCCCTTCCACCTGCCATACACCTCCCAAGTGGGGTGGGCGTGTAGGATAACCCCCACCCTCTCCAGGACACCCCACTGAGGTCCCCCATGGATGCACACAGTACCTCCCCACTCCGGGGCCCTTACTGCTGCCCAGTCCTGGCGCCCCCACCAGCCTCTCCAGGCTCCCTGCACCCAGCTCAGCCCCACAGCCCAAGCTCTGTGACCGCCAGCCCTCACCGCAATGTCACCAGGGACACTGGGGACATGAGAGCCAGCCACGCCCAAGATCATCCTTCAGGGGCACATGATCAATCACTGGTCACTTGGGTAGCAGGGGCTCCCATGCAGACCAGGCCTGTAGAAGACAGCAGTCACTTCTGCCAGTGTCCCCACCAGCAATCCACACCCACCCCACCCCCATGGAGGTCTTCTCATTCCACTCATGTGATGACCCTGCCGCAGACCCAGGGAGGTAGCAACACCTCCTAGACAGATCACATGTGGTGCCAAACCCACTGAGGTCCCCACCCCAGCCGCACATGAGGGAAGAGGGAGAGACTGGGGTCCAACACACAGAAGCAATGCTGTGGACAGGTACCTTGGGGACAACAGAGGGACACCTAGGTTGGGGCTCCAGGACCAGGGCAGTCACTATGCACCCCAACACCCCATGCCCACTGGCAGCTCCAGGTGACCAAATATGGGAGTTGTTACACACAGCACTGTGGTCCAGATCCCAGCTGGGTGCTGGTTCAAGTGACCCCGCAGGAAGTGTGAGGGAGCGTGGGGTGAGCAGTGGTTAGTACTCTGAATATATAGAGAGCGCCAGGAAGTTAACAGGAAAACAGCAACCCAGAGGGAAAGGTATGGAAACGGTGAGCAGGGCTGCACTGTCAGCAAAACCTGAATTAGCAGCTGCTGAGGAAAATGGATGTTGGGTTCATGGTTTTGCAGGGTTCAGTCCATGGTTGGCCCCTGGGCAGCCACTGTGGTGACCATGTGTCAAACACTCACTTCAGAGCTGGAGTGCAGAAGACAGGCAGAGACCACCATTGTCTCTCTCTGAGGGCATGGTCCCATGAAGCCCCACCTCCTAAAGTAGCAACACCCTGGGACCCATGCTTCTGGGGTGTGGCCCTGGGGACACTCCAGGTCTGAGCCCTGGCAGGCACGCTGCACCAGCACCTTATCCAGATGGTCCAAAGGGAAAGATGCCAGCATGATCCATGATCAACGAAATTGGAGGACACCTGCCCACTACAGCAGAGTCTGCAACTCTGAGGCCGCCGTGGTGGGATTAGAGCAGGAAAAGCGTGGTGCATCTCTGGCCAGAGGGCAAACTATGATAGTGGCTGGAGCACTATGTGGTCTTGTCCCCGACAGCCAGCTCACCTGTGCATCCCTTCAGCAGGGCCATACTGAGTGCCCCTGTGTAGGTGATGCTCCACAGGCTCACCTGGACCTCACGCCAGCCAACCCACAGCCAAGGTCCAGGCCACACACCTGCTCCCGCCCCTGTCTTTCTGTCAGTTCGTGCCCTCAGCCTGTTCCCTCGGCTAGAGAGTAGCACACAGGTCCCTCAGGGCAATCCTCAGGTGCCCAGGTGTCCTGCTCAGAGGTGTAGCCCCCAAGCCTGCAGTCCCTCACCAGGCCCACCGATGTGTGTGGAATTGCACATCAACACATGCAGGCAAGTGTGTCCATGACACACACAGGGTGTCAGGGTGTTCACAGCACACATGTGGACGCGCGCACAGCAGCCACACTGAGTGCAGAGCTGACATTGGCTTGCTGTTCCTGGGTCATGTCAGAGCCACGCTGATGGTGCTGGTCTGGGTGTGTTACGGGGAGAACACAGCCCCAGACGACATGCCAAGGGCCCTGCCTGAGCCCGCACAGTGACTGTGAAAATGGGGTTGCAGCAGATGTCATGAGGGCTGGGTCTACCTCCAGGTGGTTGATGGCCTTTTGAGGATGGGAGGAAGCCAGAGATAAAAACACCAATGACCCAAAGGCCAGGACACAGTGGGCACTTGGCACTGGGCACCTTAATGGGAGCCACCATTGGACCGGCTGCACCCCAGTGCCCAGCGAGGCCCTTAGCAGTGGGCCTCATGTCTGTGCCTATAGCCACTTGGCCTGCCGCGCCTTCACACCTCAGGGTTGGGGGTGGGACCCTGCAAAGCTGCAAGCTGACTCAACTTTACCAGAAAAATATTCACTGAGTGTGGTGGCTCATGCCTGTAATCCCCGCACTCAAGAGGCTGAGGCAGGAGGATCACTGTGAGTTTGAGGCCAGCCTGGGCTACAAAGTGAGTTCAAGCCCAACTTGAACTACATATTAAAACCTCTCAAAAAGAATAAATAAATAAATAAATTTTAAAAAGTGCATGGAGAAAAGTCAGATTCCCCCTACCCCCGTATCCAGAGCCTTCACCCCGAGTTACACCCCAGCCATTTTTAGACAGGTTATTAAGTTGTCTAGGCTGGGCTCCAATTTACCATTACTGCCTCAGCCTCCAAGAGGGCTGGGATTAGAGGTGTCCACCACTGCATGTGACTAAGCCAGACTTTTTCAAAACATTTTGTCATCAAAAAGCATCAGTTTCAGGTGAAAATAAATGACCCAGACTCTGGGCGCCACAGGCAGCTCCAGCCACAGCCTGAGCAAGCCCTGTGCACTCTGGGCTGCTGGTTTCTGTTGGCTTCCTTTGTGGGGCCGGGGAAACAGTGCCACGCTGGGAGTGGACAGCCTCTGGGGACGGGCCAGCTGCTTTCTCCTCTTGCCATCTTGGGGCCTGGGATCTCTGGACCTCGCATGAGCAGCGGACAACACAGTCTCAGCAAAGAGGCTGTGACCATGAGCCCGAAGTCTGCCTTTGCTCACCCTCTTCTCCCCCTGCTCTGTGCTTGTGATCTTGGCGGGACTAGGCTGCTTCAGTGAGGCTTCCCAGGGCTCTCTGGGGCTCACTGTTGGCTCCCACTCCTCATTTAGCCCTGTGCATGCCTGCGACTCTCTGAAACACAGCTGCCAGCAGCCATTGTTGAGCAGAGCCCTACCAGTCACACAAACCTGGAGCGATGCACACTGTCAGTGCCTGTTTTCTGCATGTGAAATGCACAAAGGACCCGAGACATACAGTTTGCTCTTCCAGGTGCACTGACTCAACTGCCAGGGCTGGGGGAGCAGCTCCCATGTGCAGACAAAGGACAGGTGCCAGCTTCACCTCGAGGTCGTGGCAGCAGTGCAGAGGTTCTGCGTCTTCCCGTGCGTGGCCCCTCTCCCTGCCTGCAAGGGGCTGTGCTGACCAAGGTTTACTTTCACAGCAGCCCTGAGTGTGTCCCAGGCTAATACACCAAGGCCAGATGGCTGCCTAGGTAGATCTACGTGGCCATGTCAGGCTTTTTCTTAATTTGTTCACTATTTCTGGCTATGTGGTTCTTCTCAGAATTTTTTAAATTGTGCAAATCTTAAAAAACAAAAAACACCTCCATGCAGGTAGACCTGAGCTGTCCCCACTGTGCAATCACAGAAGTGACAGCCAGCAGCTGCCTAGGGTATGGAGTGACCAGAGCCGCCCAAGTGGGCACCTGGCCCTGAGGCTGCCCTGAGGGCCTGTGGGCCCTCTACAGTGTCCTTGCCATCCTCATGCTGTGTCCCCCACCCGGCCCCTGCATCCCCACCCTGCTCCTCTGTGTCCCTGCTCCCTGCACCTCCCTCCACCCAGCTGCCCTGCCCAGGTCCCCGGCTTTGCCTGGTGGAGCAGGCTCCTGGCAGTGCCCTGTTGGAGATTCACCAGAGCAGGGCCATGCTGGTCAGCTCATTGCCAGCTGGAGTATGCTGGACAGCGGCAGATATTACTGTCTACAGGTGGGTGCAGATGCGGTGGCAGAGATGGGAGCATAGATGGCTTGTGTTTTTTCCCTATCTGTCCCTGAGTGTGGCACTTATTCCCCAGAGTTGGCTCTGGAGCAGGCTCTTGTCACACAGTAACCCAGGAACAGAAGCCAGGTTCAGGGACAAGAGATGCTTATCTAGATGCCTGGCCTCTAGTGTCCCCAATGTCTGGCCACAGGAGGAAAATGTGGCCATCAGCACATGGAAGACACTGGCCTGCCTGGCCTCCTCCCAGGAGGTACCAGTCCTAGGCAGCCAGCCCAGCACTGCCACTGTGACCTCAAATTCCCAGTGAAGAGAGAATGAGGAGCCCCTTGCCCTCTGACAGGCCCACACTCCTTGCTGGAGAGTGGGCCCTGGAGGATAGCCTGGAGGCAGAGTGGGCAGTACAGCAGGCAGGGAAGAGGAGACAGACAGGAAGACAAGACAGACCTTTGTGCCAAGAGTGAGGGTCCCGGCTAGGGTGTGATTCCGGAGGGGTGAAGGCCCCCAGCTGCCCAGGGTTGACCCACTGGGATGCAGGACTTGGGAGGGGGCCTCCATCCTGAGCTCAAGATGCCGAACAAGGCCGAGGGATTGTTGGTGACAGTAGCTGTATGTGCCTGGCCAGGGTGGGGACACTCGTGGGAGCCTCCAGGAAACCAGCTCTCGGGTCACCTGAGGCAGCTCTGCAGCCCACAGATCAAGATTGAGGAGACCAGAGCCCCAGCCACCTCTGCAGACACTGCCGGAGCCTCATCCTGATCAGGGTACGACAGGGCCACGTCAGCCCATCCCGAGGGCCATTCATGAGCTGGGGCTGTGTGGGCACAGCCGTCAGGGCTGGCCACTCAGTGTTGCTTCTTTGCACCTTCGCAGACTGTGGGTCTGGAAAGATGGCGGCTCCTTGGGTCTGACTCTGCGGTCGAGAGGCAGGTGTGCACTCCAAGGGCAGCTCCAGCACGGGTCTGTGCCCTCCTGGCTACCTGCGAGGGCTTCGGTTAACAAGGACTCCTTCTGAGGCAGAAAGGGTCCACTCTGCTGT